TCTGCCCCACTTAACCTCCTCCTCAGAGCACAGTGGGCATAGCACTGTGACAGAGAATTACAAATGTCCATGTGGATGGAATAAAGAACTGTACCAGGTGATGCATTCCCACAGCATCAGTGGACTGAGCTTGTATTTGTGGCATTTACTAATGTGGAAAAAATGAAAACACTGCAGTCCTTCAGACACTGAACATCAGCCCTCTGCTAGCCTTCATGATTTTGGTAAATTCTCAGAGGAGCTACATAGGCAGGATAAGGTATCTGTAGTGGATTTACTGCCTGCCTTCATTTTAGCCAGCCAAAGTAAGGTTCCCAGTGAAGATGTGGTTTTGGTTTCCTAGTAGTATGAAGAGTTTTCATGGAAAAATTAAAAATTTCCCCTGAAGAGAAGCATTTGCAAAATACTCACCAAAATCAGAGTTGCTCAACAAACAGAAAGGGTTTTAGCAAGCCAGAGAGTCACAGCCAGGGACTTGGGTTTTGTAGGAAAAAAAGGTAAAGTGCAAGTGAAAAATGTCAAAATGCAAGCACAGAAGGGCAGAAAAATTTAGGTTGATGAACAAATGTACAGTCTTTTCCCTTACACCTTGTACACATAAAGCTGATGATGGTTCTTGGAAGTCCTGCCAAAGAATTCAACTTACAGTAGCAGAAGCATAAAAATATACATGTCCCTCCTAAAGAAATCACGTAAGAATGAAATTAGCTCCAGGAGCAGACAGATAAATCTATCTATGTAGCCACTTGGCACTTGTAAATAGTTTCCATGTGCCTAAATGGATTTTGTTTCCTGTAAGACTGGAGTTCATTGGCACCTTGCACAGTTACAAAATTTCAGGTATTACTATCCAAGAAATACAGACTTTGGGATTATGATGGTTTGTAAATGTTAAGCTGCCTAAGCCATCAAATGCTGCCACCTTTGTAGTATGATTAACAAAGGCTGTGGAAACTAACATTTTATTTCTATTTTAATTCGTATTCGTAAGGTGAGTGAGCAGTGGGATAAAGACTTGGCATGTTGCTGACAACTTTGTGGTCAGCGTCACTTTTTTCAGGCTTTTACTGGGTATGAGGAACTGCATTGCTCTGTACTCAGCTCAGTAGAATGCAATTTCTTGTACAAACATAATTTTCAGGAATATAATGAAATCCTTGATACTGTGACAATTAACATAGCAGAAATAAAGGTTCTTGGCCATTATTTTCATGCTATCCAAACAGAAATTAGAAGATAGAGCTCAGAAATATCCTATTAGCTACCATTTGCTGAAAGAAGGGGTGCAGGGTTTTTCTTTTAATTTTTTTTTTATTTATTTTGCTTTTATCCTATGGATCAAAGCCCATAAGGGCTCCTTTACTATTATCCCTTGCTGCTGACTTTGAACCACATCAGTGCGTTAAGACTGGTAGGAAGCCACAGAATAGCAGTCGATACTAAGTAGTTTTATTCTACATTTCCTGATGCTGCTTTTGCTAAAAATATCTTAGGCTTGGAAAAAAAAAATCAATAAACACCACTTTTATCCTCATGGCTTTGATTGCCATGCTCCAAGAAAAATCTGAAAAGCAATTGGCTCCACTTTATGGCCGATACAGAGACTAGAACTAGCAGGTCCCATCCTCATCATCTCATGCCACAAGGTGAAAACCATGGTGAATTAACACCTCTTTTTTTTTTTACTTCTAATGCTTAAAATGAGGCCATTTGGTGTATATTTAGCAAGGATTCCAAACAAAATAAGCATCCAGCAAGGATTTCACTCTTCCAGCATTCATTGCACTGTGATGGTCGTTCTCTGCCATTCCATAAGCAGGTAATTCACTTCCAGAACAGTTTAATTCAGCACTATTTTTGCCATTAGTGTCAATGAGACTTGGGTTCCTCGGTGCCTCAGGTTTTTTGTTGTTTTTTTTTTCTCTTTATATCCCTTGATTCATCTTCTCCATCCTGCCTTCCTGCTTTGTAGCTTTCACAGAGACTGGATTCCAGTTTCATCAATTCCTTTTCCTTTTCTGAATACGATGAAATTTTTTCACATCCTCAGTATGGACAGCAAATGCATAAATCTCCTCATTTCCATGGCGGCATCTCAGAATGTTTGAATGTTTCTGTGACCCAACATTCAGTGGCTCTCTAAAAAGAAATTTTAAACTGCTCAGTTTAAAAAATAATAATCCTAATCTTCAGATATTTTACTGCCACAGACAACACTGACTTTTATGAAAAGAACATATTTCTAGGCAATAGGAAAATCAACATACACAAGGAAAAAAAAACCTGAAGAAAATCAAATCTGGGTAAACAGTGAACACTGAGATCCACAGCTGCTGCCAATTTTAAAGAGTCATTGTGTGACCTAAATTCTCAAATTTTTACTCAACCCAATACAAAATGAAGCTGTTGAAGGATATATTCAGTGAAGATGATGTCTATGGCAACACTGGAAGTTACTTGTGTGTAACCTCAAGGCAAACCTGAAACGCCCATAAACAAGTTTGCCTTTCATCTAAGTGTTTGGAACAGACTCATTTCCCAGCCTTAATCTCAGCAAATACAAAATTCCATACACATGAAAATCTGCATTTTCAAATACCAGAGTTTTCCTCTGTACACACTAAATACATTACAATGTACATAAGCAGTAAGATTTTAGTTTGCAAAGATTTTTCATCTGTAACATAAGCAAAAACAAGGTATAAAATAATTTTCTCCACCTGTAAGTAGATCCTTTAATTAATTTGTAAACTTCACTTAGGGGATACAGAATTTTTAATTTTTAATAAAAGGTTCTCTTGCTGACAGAAAATCTTTTAGGAGCTATGAATACAGAGGTGGGATGTTAGCTTTCAAAAAAGCATATTGCATAACAGATGCTATGTTGGGCAGATCCTCCAGTTTTCCCATGGAAGTTCTTTCTCCCTTAAGTTTACTGAAGGAAGACAATAGATTTAAAAAAATAAAGTAGAGAATGTTAGAAGCAAAACATTGTATAAAACTTACATGCTAAATAAAGCTATAAATTAACCAGGTTGTTATTTTAACAAATAGCTGGTTCTGGAATACAAGTGAGGTGGTAGATACTCTATATTTACAAGAGTTAAAGCAGAACTAATTGCTTAGGTTTCATGATCAGTTGCAGCTAACCTACTCCTGTGCAATTTTTCCAAATACAGATCTAGGGCATATTTCCATTACCCTAAAATAAAAGCACTTTGTAATTTATACATCAGAATAATTACTCTTTGAAAAATAAACTCATTGGATAAAAAATGCTAGAATATATGCAACATTTTATAAAATTTTATAAATATTATTTTAAACCTCTTTCACAGCATATTAGCAAGTATTACTTTACTTCAAGTAAAATCAGATTTAACAGGAACTCATACAGGATTTCACAGGAAAGACTAAAAGAGAAAAATAAAATGTCTACATTCATTATGTTAACTCAGCAAACGAAAGCTATGGATTTTCCAGTAGAGTACTTGATTTTTCAGGTATAGAGCATTACCAAAACCCCTGAACACCACTTTGGTTGTGTTGGCTTTCCAGTCACTTCATAATTCTTTAGGAAATGCAGCTTTGTGTAAATTACCTCATTTTACTGTACCTCAATGGCAAAGACTAAAGCAGGTGTCTCTACATTGACTAACAGCAGTCATAATTTCAAGATCAACCTTGTACATTTTCTCTAAATGCCTTTGGTAAAACCAGAGTGCACCAAGAACCAAGTGTGGGTGCAAGAACCCTTGAGAATTCTGGGACACACTCTTCAAGACACTGCCAGACACAAGTGAATGCAATCACAAAGCAATCCAAAAATCCCCTTAGGGATCCATCAACCATCAACAAATTTGTAGCGACTTCTTAAAAAGCCTCATAGGGCAACATTTCCCACTTGCTGCTGGCTGAGGTCAGAACTTCAGCTACACAGATGGACATGGATATCGCTGGCATCCAGTGTATGGTTTCCAGATCCCAGTTTTGAGATGCTACACAACATCTTTGGCAGCGGGTTAAGCTTTTGTGCCAAGGGGCTGACAAGCCCAGGGACACTTCTTTGAGCTCCACCTTGTTCCCCACAGCTTGCTGTGGGAACGGCTTCACCCCAAACCAGAATGCTGTTTGGGGAAAAGCAAAGGAAAGCCTTTCAGCTGTGCCCGTGAAACCTCTCCTGCCTCCTCCAAAGGTGCAGGCCAGATGGATTTCTCCTGTGGCACATCCCAGGCTGTCTGTGGGCTCCTGCCTGGATAATGCTGGCTCTAACACACGCTGACCTGAGCTACAAGGACTGAAGACATCCCAAAAAAAATCAAGAAAGAAAGGCTACACATTTAACTTAATCCTAATCTTCCTATTTGCTTCAAAGCTGCAGTTATGGAAAACACCTGTACCTGAGACTTGTGCCTGTTAAGGCTCTAGCAGCGCTCTGTGGCAAGAGAGTGGAGAATTGTGTTGGTCAAAATCAGTGATTTTTAACTGGGATGAAGGGTAGAGGATAAGGAAAGGGTGATCAGTATGACTACAGATTTATGAAAATACAAGAGTGGCAAAGGGGCCATCATCTACTGCACCATGATCCAAAGCAGGTAAGGAAACTTGAATTCGTGCAGGTCCTGACAAACACCGAGTTGTAACATTCATTCTCTTCACTTACTTGGATCTCACTCCCTTTGTAGCCAACATATCTCACCCCCAAGGTGAATGCATTTTGTTGGTACAGGTTTTCTTCATCAGCTCTCTCTAGAAATTGGCAGGCTGAGAGAAGTTTTCATTATCACAGTCCATGAAGCGCCCAGAAATCAGATCTTTAAGGCAATCAACTGTAATTATGTAAAATCCTGGGCTGTGTTCAGCTCTCCCACTTTTGCTTATGCGACTGTAGCTGTATGATTTCAGTGGAACAGATGCTGGCTTTTGCCAATAGAAATAAGATTAGAGTTGCCCTTAAAATTATGCTTCAGGGAACACAAGAAACTACACAGGAAAGATAATGTATTTGAGAACATTTTTAATAAATAATGTGACAAAAATTACTTTTCTGATTATTGGATCCTCAGTATGCAAAATTATGGCTAAAATATGAGGTTTCTTACATGAACATAATGAAAACATTAATCACATGGATTTTCCTTTAGTACTGCACACCCTTTCTATGGAACCTTTCTTTAAAAATTAGCTAAATGAAAAATTTCAGTCCTCGGTAAACACCAAAACACTTTTTTTTTTTCTTTTTTTTTTCATTGGGGCTAGTCCTGATAGCTGTCAATAAACAAACACACATTTTTCCATTAGCACCAATGACAAAGGAATTTTATAATTACAAAAAAGATCAGAAAACCTACAGAAAGAGGACATCATTTGGCAAATTGAATGCAACTAATGCCTCTATTTCAGCTTTAATGAAAATCCAATGTTGAAAGAGGCCACAGAAAAATTGGTAATTTTCTGTAAGTCCAGGAAAAGTGAGAAGTGTTTCGATTATGGCCCACATTAACATTTGTTACTTTACCATCTGTCATCATTCAAATATTCCAAATACAAACATAAAGCATTAACAAAAAGATGAAAAATATCCCAAACAAATGCTTAACATTTTCAATAAGACAAGAAAAAAAAAAAGGTTAATAGTTACAATGGTTTACAAACAAAGTTTAGTGATTGTGCTTTTAAAACCAAAAAAAAAAAAAAAAGATAAGCAGTGCATTACAAAAAAAAATCATTGCCAAGATCAAACAAAACTTCTTTAAGTGGCACTTCTTCTTTAAGGTGAATTGACACAAGTAGAGGTCTGAGATTTGGGCCAGTAGCAGTTGATGATATTACCTAATGGTTATTAAAAATGTCCACTGGTTTTTTTTTTGTAAGCAGTGTTGAAGCTGAAAATCGGAAAAAAGTTTCAGATAAACTTGCTCATGGTATGATTAGGCAAATAGCAATCACATTGCCTTACCTCCTGCCTATCCCAAAGGACATTTTTAATAAGAATGTATTTAATGATGAAAATGGAAAGACAAACCAAAGTACCACAGGGGTTTAAAATGAGTACATATTTACAATAAGAGCCATCTTGTCCCAAATTAATTTTACTTTCATTTGTCAAACTGTATCATCTGCAAAAGGTTAGCAAGAGACTGGCAGAACACAAGACACGCAGTCTGTGTTAAAGCTGCAAGGTACCATTTGCAGTGACTGCAGAGCCCAGTGGAACCCCGAGAAGCAGAGGATGCTCTGCACCACCTCCACCCCGGGGAGCTCTTTGATCACGGCCGCGTCCCTTGCGGCGGTACCGACTGGCTCGCTGGAGAACTGGGGAGAAACCTTGGAATCCCAGGCCCTGGAATTCCCTTCTGTTCTAATCCTGGAGCAGCAGCTGGCCCAAGCACCTCGAAGAGCAGCTTCCCTGCCTCCTCGGGCAGAGAAGGTGATGCACTCAGCGATACGGAATAGGCAAGGGCCGTTCCTAGTGAGGAGGGCTTACAAAGAAAGAGTAAAATAAAAACTAGCATTCTGATGGCATGAGGAAAAAGGAAAAATTGTACACTCTGATTGCACTGAACATTATTTCTGGCGTCAAACATCATCAGACTTGAGGCATCTTAAGTGATTTATTTTTTTTCTGATTAGATTTTAAAAGCCTGTTACAGTACATGTCGTTGTCTTCAGCTTTCTGTTTCCTGTATTAAAAAAAGAGGATATGGATTACTACATGTTAAGCTTTATTATTTAAAATTTGTTTGACATACTTCTTAGAGATTTTCTACTTTTAAATTATAATTACTACTTTAAATTATGCACAGCAGTGTGACTGTGTGTTGGCTACCCTTTCTGCAATAAGTCTTTAGATTGAATCAATATCATTAGGCAGGAAAATAAAAAAGTTTGAATCTTAATATCTAATAAAATACAGAATTATAAACTGTCAGAAGATGTGAAAGGCAGTGGCATGGTGTTCTTAGATGCTCTAGTTATTTTCAGTTTTGAAAGAATCTGGGTAGGGTAAAATGCTCTTCAAACTATTCTATTTCTGCAAGTCCTGTTCCGTAAATTTTACTGTGGTGACAATTACATTATACTATATATTACTTATTTTTTATATTTTGACACATTCCTAGTTTGTTTACTTGGACTGGGGATTACCTTAATAGACAGATAAATGCACTAATTTGCCTGAAAATAAATATTTCAGGTTCAAAAGCGTTTCTTCCTGACATCTGTCTAAAAATACCCAGCTTTATTGTAGTCATCTTCAGTATTACAACTGCAGTTACCTCCATCTCTTCTTCTTCTTCCTCCTCTCCTTGTTCATAGGCTCCCAGTACTTGCATTTCTGCAACATTCCTTCGGGCTAGATTTGCTTGATCTGCCCTCTGTCTGCCTCCTGAGCCTCTTGACGACATGGAGCTGGAGGAGCTGGGATCTCTAGGATTATTTGATGTTGGAAACGTTGGTCTAGAATATGGCAGGATGTCCTCTGTATAATTAAATGCATACATTGTTATGTTTACAAGCCTAGGGATACTGTGAACCTAAAATTTCTGCATGCAGTTGATTTACTTTTTATGATTCTCAGGAGGTTTAAAGTGATGGCTGACAAGAACATGAAATATGCTGCTTCTATAGCAGCATTATAGAAGTTTTCTCAAGGAAATTTATAGTCTTTACATGGTAACATTCACTACAGAAAAACTAATTCATGATTAGTGTCCATTTAATTTCAATTTAGGATCCCTGCTCTATGTTCTACAGGAAAATGAAAAAACCCCACCCCTGTAGTATATATTGGATATGACAGAGTAGGAGGAAATGAGAATACAAGTATGATACAAGGAACTCACTCCATCTAAATACTGGACCCTTCATTTCTCAGGCTGAATTGGAGAAACAATCAGTGGCTATGCTTTAATATTTCACCACCATCCTCTATGGTAGCATTCTAATAACTTTTCTCAAAAGCAATCCACTGTAATCAAACTTTTATTCACATGCCCACTTAACTAACTTAATACCCAAACACCCCTGATGTTGTCCCTAAATACCTGCAGGCAGAAAGGACCAGGCATTTGTATCAATCTGTGCTCTTGGTGAACTCTTGGAATGTTCCATTAATTAGTAAACTTACCACTTCCCATATATAAGATTTCTTTGGTCAAGTCTAGCTCATAGAATGCTCTGTGGGTTAGTATTTATACTTAATCCACAACAACTAAGGCTTTCTTACTCTTGGAACAGGACTAGTTATCATTCCGGCCCTTTTGTTCTCTACAAATTGGCAAAATGGGCCAGGTGTTGATCCTTTGGTTGGAGAGTTAACTTTCTGAATTACAGATCTACTCTCTGACTTCACTCAGTCTCCTTATGAACCAGTTTACCATTAAGTACACTAAATATAACTAGACTACAAGTGTATGGTAGGAGCAGGGATACTGATCCTTACAACACTTAAGGAATATTTCTTTTTGGTTTCCTCCTCATTAGCTTTAATACCTGATGAGTCTAAGGGCAGTGAAATAGAAAAAGAATGTTTTGCGAGCTTGCACTAAGCTTGTAACCCTAACAGATTCTTCAGTGTGACCCATATTAACACTACAGTTATGATAAACAGTGGCAACTCAGCAGCTCTAACTCCACATCCCCAGCCTGCAAAGCTCCCAGCGACCACCACCCAGCGCTCCAGCCAGCCCTGGGCAGGCAGAATGACCTTGAAGAAGATGACTTTTTGCTGGTGCGCCATCTCGTTTTGGTGCTTTGCTGGCTCGCGGTTTGCCGTCGCCCGGCTGCTCCAGGGGCTCTCTGCGCTCCCCCGAGCCCGGCCGCAGGTCGGGGTGCTGCCTGCCCTCCGCCCCGTCCCTGCCCTTGTAGCTCGCTGCCTTCCTCTCCGCCGACCTGTCCGTCCTCGCCTCCGCTGGGGCGAGCTTGGGCAGCAGCACCGGCCGCACCTCCAGCTGCGCCTTGGACTGCGCCGTCGGGGACTTGATGGCTGGAGGGGGCACGGGAGGAGGGGGCAGGTCTGTGGGGATGAAACAGAAGAGTAATTATGATGGCATCGCACACTGGTGAAATTAAGAAATAATATTTGACTTGAACTGAAGAAACAGATGCTCTTGTTTACTTTCCGCCCTCCCTCTGCCCTCCTCTCTCCACCCCATAAAGCATTATGTTACTGTTGAAACTGATGATGGGTATTTTTCCAAAAGCTTGAGCTTTACAAACACAAAGGATGACCTCTCCCTGCCTTTTCAAATCACAATATTTTCTTAAAAATCATTACCAAAAACTGCAATAAACTTTAGGCACTTGGATATCAGTTATGGATACCAACAAAGAATTAAGGATAATAACATATCCTTCCTGGCATTTGTAATTGTTTGCTAAGTCCATTCAAGGATGCAGCACCTTGTGCTGCAATTGCTCAAGGTCTTCAGTGTAGTGAGCATTAAAGCAAACGAGCTGGGATGTAAGAATGTGTATCAGATGCATTGCTGACATATGTAAGGATAAACTATATTATTGCATTCTTCTTTTAAAATAGTAAGTTAAAATAACACTCATATCCTTGATGTCTGTGGGCATGTTATGACATATTAAAACATAAAAAATTACAGTCAGTCAATGAAATAATAAGCTCACAGAAAAAAACAAACAAACAAACAAAAAGACACACAAAAACTTCTGGATTTGTCCCTTTAAATTAGTACATCTTAAGAGGTTCTAAAATTCTGAACATTTTAAAATACTATCGACAAAGCACACACATTATTTACTTCATTATATTTTTCTGTTCCAGCATTAGGACATAGAACTAGAATATGTAAAATGTTCATCAGGATACAACAGTGCTCTGTGGAATATCAATGCGAAGAAAAATATATAGGAGTCAAGCAAGGAAGTGGCAATACAAAAGCAGTTCACAATAAAGCTATAGGCACAATTCACATGGATTTAGGAGAACAACAGGTTAATAAAAGTGAGATGAGGCTAATATTTTCAAGTGGAATTGCTAGGAAAAAAGCTGTCACTATTAAAAATTGAAACTTCAGCATTTTGTAATAGTGTGCTTTCCACAAAAATCAGGGAAGAGCTGTGTTTTTCACATACCATCACTATATATACAGCTAATTCTAAGTCTATTTAATAGAATGTTTCAACTTAAATTTCCCTAAATTAGGCCAAAAATAAAGGCAGTAATCCTGAGTAAGAAAAAGTAGATATCTAATATATACATATAAGTTCAGATATGGCAGATGCTAGATATTTTAAAGAGGTTTTCCAGTGACACAAAGGATGAGGGACTTGATCCAGCCCTGTGGAAAGATGGAAGCAATGCAGAATTCAGTGTAAGCTCTGTGTAAGCTTACTGGGAACCATCCACCACATTCACCTGGTGACATATCTTGGAATTATCCTTCACCTGCCTTAAACAAGACTGGAAATTTTGTCAATTGGCTGGACTGGAATGATGAGGAAGAAAGATGTCAAAAATTATGGTTCATAAGGTTGGACATACTTCAGGGAAATTATATCCTGCTGCAGTAACTCTACTGTCTTGGTGAAAAAAAAACCCACAACAAACAAACAAAACAAACAAGAAATCCTATCAGTTTGTTTGATGAATATTAGCAGTTTTGGAGAGCAGCTAAAGGTAAACTATTGACTATTGAGACTTTATTTTGAGTATCTACCTAACACTCACTATTGGCAGGTATCTTTTAAGAAAAAAAGACTGTTATTTTCAAAGCCTAAAAATGCAAATGTAAGCCTGGATAAACTAAATGGCTGAATCTAAATGAAGGGAAAGGTTAGATTGGATGTCAGGAAAAGGTTCTTTACCCAGAGAGTGGTTGGGCACTGGAACAGGATCACAGGGAAGTGTTCACAGCACCAAGCCTTACAACACACTTGGCAAGAAAGCAGAGAATCATTTGTGCTGCCTTCCTTCGTTATCTGTAACTGTTAACCATGGTTTAACATGAACATGTTAACCATGTTCAGCACACAGCTCAGCAGTGAAAGTCTGTAATTCCAGCCATCAGTGTTGCACTGAGACTTCCACTTCTAAAAATGTCTAAAAAGGCTCTTTGGTGGCAGGTGAGGTCCAAACTACTTTCACTGGGCTGCCCAGCCCTGTAGATGCAAATTTGAATTTCTGGATCACGAAAATCTACAGCCATGTGATCTTAAGAGTCAATACTTGGTGTAGAAAGTGTTGTTCTGAAGAAGTATATAACCTCTTGCAAACCAGCAGTCATGAACAATCATGTGAAAATTTATGTGAAGTCTGCCTAAGACCTCAGAGTTGTGTGTAATATGTACCTTGAAAGCCCAGTGCATAACACCATGTCAATCCAGACTAAAGCTTATTGAGCACAAGAAGTATTCTTCCAAAGCAAGGCTGAAGATGGACCCCACCCCTCACAGAACACTGTTAGCAATTACAGAACACGGATCAAAAAATAAGACAAACTCCTAATTAGCCTGTGGAAATTCCAACAATTCTTTCCTTCCCGAGCAAAACTTTCTTCTCACAGTACGTCTACCCTCAGAAGAGGACACACTGACTCAAAAGTGGATGAAAATACCCAAGCTCAGAAGTGTAGACTTCTGGAATCAGTGCTTTTCTTTTAACACACTCTGATCAGATTTGTCCTTATTTCAATCCTTTGGGGTGCGTGTTGGGCACCAAAGGGGACTGTCATGGAGATGAAATTCCTCTCAGCCACTCACTTGAACTTCCACTTCTCTCATCCCACTGGAATGGGGAGGACAATCAAAGTAAAAGTTATATGTTGAGCTAAGAACAGTTTAATAATTGAAAAGTAAAATAATACAATAATGGTAAACAATAGCAATAATGATAAGAATGAGGGGGGAAAAAAAGCACAATGCAATTGCTCACCACCCACTGGTCACCCAATTTGGTCACCACCCACTGACCAATCAATGCCAGACCCCCTTCCTGAACCCTTCTGGGTAAATCCCCAGTTTATATACTGGACATAACATTCCATGGTGTGGAACATCCCTCGGCTCAGTTTGGGTCACCTGTCCCAGCTATGCTCCCTCCCAGTTTCTTCCGTGCACCTCCTCACTTGGCAGAGCATAAGACAAGGAAAAAGAAAAGTCTTTGACTTAGGATAAACACGACTTAGTAAAGAAACATCATCAACACCATTTGTATTCTGATCCAAAATAAAACCCAGTAACAGCTGCTGAGAAGAAATGAACTCCATTCCAGCTGAAACCAGGACAATGCAATATCTTGTGTCTCACATGCTCCGCTCATGTTCTCTTCAATAAAGCACTGAATAACCCTTCTCTTGAACCTGCTGATGTAAAGGGAGTGCAGATATCCACCATCAGCCTTTTCAGCCTCCCTTGGAGCCAGTGTCCAGCAGTTAAACCAGGCTGAACGAATACTGAAGGGAAGGAACATTCCTGTAGCCTGTTAAATAAAGATTGGAACAAACTACTTTGTTCAAGAATCCTATACAGCTACACAGAACAATGAACAAAGTGGTGTTGAATCTTGACTATGGAAAGGGAAGATGCACTGATATAAAATGTTTCACAAACTGGCAGCAGCTCTATGGTACAGTAATAACTAAAGAAAAGTGATATTCGCTTTCAAGAACATTTTTGCAACCTGCAGGGAAACTATAAAAATCTTCATTATAACACAGTACTTCTGACTGAGAAGAATCCTTAACAGAGGGGGGAAAAAAAATCCCTTTCAGAGGTCAACGCTATTACACCCCTGTGGTATTTATTTTAACAGCTCAGATCACAGAGAAAATTCAGATTCAATCTGCCTCCTCGAGTACAAACTGATACACTTATTTTTAAAAGCAAAATGGAAGCTTCCTTTGTAAGGAATAAAAAATAAATCACAAAGCAACATCAAACCAATAGAAAGAACTCAGAAGTACTTGTTAAAGGTCAGCTATGTTCACATGTTTCATTCATGTCTATGTATTACTGCTATCCTGCTTCCCATGGAACTCAAACAATTAATGGATGCCCTTTCATAGCTCAGCCTACAGGAGAAACCTTCCATAGGTGTATTTTGAAAGGAGAGATGATAATTTTTCAAATGAGAACACACACAGGAACCACGGCATAAGCTGAACAGCATTGAGGGAAAATAATCTGCTAAATTAGTTTAACACTGAAGTGGAGAAACCATGAATAAGGACAACAAGATGAATTTTAAGTAGTGACCCATGAGGGAATTAGGCTTCATTAGGCAACTCTCTCTTTTAAACTCGATCAAGCTGCAGATTTCTTCAGTCATACCCTGAAGAAAACAGCAGTTATAGATTTGATGCAATACTGAAGAAGACCCCTGGGAGTGTTCAAGGCAAGGATGGATGGGGCTCTGAACAACCTGGTCTAAGGTGTTCCTGGCCATGGCAGGGGGGTTACAACCAGATAATCTTTGAGGTTCCTTCCATCCTAGGCCATTCTATCATTGTGTAAGATACAAAGTGAATTTTTAGTCTATTTAACGTTCATGCTGATAGGCAAAACTCAGAATTAGTTATGACTTGAAAAAAACCTTAGACAGCATTTAAGATTTCCAGACACATCATAATCTGAGCTATTATTCATGTAGTGAGGTTGTTTTCATGCTTTGTCTCTCAAGAAACATGGCTCACACTGTACACAATAAGTGAGTGAACAAATTAATACAGCAAAACCCAATGTGATGCATAAAAGCTGTGGCCTATTGCCTTTTTTTTTTGTACATTTGCATAATTATCAAAACAATTTTGACTCCACAAAACCTCCCTCAAGTAAAAAATTATGTATTTAAAAAATGTAATGGACTCAGAAGTAAGGACTGAGAAGAGGACAAGAATATGAAAATTATTATAATTCAATAACAAGCTGATTTTAAGCAGAGTAAGAAATGCATTCCTACTTATTTTGTACCTTGCTAAAATTTGCTTAATGCAGAGCAGATTGTTTTGTACCGCACAGGCAGAGGGAGACAAAAGTACAAATGGTGTTGGCATGCATAAAGGCTTAACATTTCCAAGCAAAAATTCAAGGAATATTTGGCCGATGTTCAACTGCCTTTTGTGAGAAATTCAGCTGCCCTGACATCATGTCATTGGTAACACAGCTAAATAACTCAGTTACGGTCTCAGCCAGTTAGTTGCAAAACTGTTTAGTAATTTTTCCTCCCTCAGAGATTTAAAGAAGAATCAGGATTTAAAATCTCACGTGAAAGGCATAATTTCTATTGAAAGACCTAGTGAATCAGAACAATGGCAAAGTATTTTTATCCTTTTAATCTAAATGCTTACAATTCCAGGGTTTGTAACAACTGATAAATCAATACAAGATGGTTCAGAGGAGAGTCTGCCATATATACTTTTAGAAAAGACAAAGATATTATTTTAAAGTTTGGTTTTCTAAATTAAATATGTAAGTAGGTCAGTCAAGGTTGAGAAGGAGGGTACATCTGCTAGTTGGTTCTTAGTATTTTTAGTAAACTGTCCTAAAAAGCTAGATGAAGAGCAATTAAAAATTAATACATTTTAATCCTTACCACCTACTGCGTAAAGATTTTTAGCAACAAATATGAAGAGCATTTTAGTGCCTGGATGACTGTCAATGAAAAAAATGAGCTGAAATCACATCCCACATAAAGTGGCAACTGACTTGAACTAATGCTCACAGAAAAATACAAAATTATTACTCGGACATTGCAGAGTATATCAGAGAGCACTCTTATTTAAAAATAGGTAGTAGGAGGCCTTTTATTGATACATTAGTAACAATGACATCTTCAGAAAGATAACCTCCTTCATAGATTTGTCTGTATGATGAAAATAAAAAAGAGATTTAAAGATTTACATATATTGATGTTGATAATACTCTTGGCATTTTCAACTGTTCATGAAAATCTTTAATTTATTTATATAACCTTCCTGTCAACTAATCATTTAAATTCTTCATTACACTTGTATTTCATAGAAGTATTAGCAAGCATTAATTCAGGCAATTTGGGAACAGTAAAAAATTATTTATATGCAATCCTTCAAAATTCGATTTTAGAGGCTGAGAAAGTAATAAAGGAATATATTTTTTCTCTTTTTAGTATTTATTGAATGCTTCTGATTTTTATTCCCCAATACTACAAACACATATATGTTCACTTGTTATGAGGAAAAAAAGCAACTCTGTATCAGGCACTCCTTTATAAAAAAATATAAATATTAGTCATCAAGCCAGTATAAAAACCTAAGTATATCTCAGAAAGGTAAGTTGTGCTTAAATGTTTCATACATGCATCTATATAACTTTTCTCCACCTAAGGAAAACAATTACTATATGTTACTTTACAGCTAATTCTAAAGGGTCACAGTATATTGAAGTGAAGGGTTAGAATCTATAGCAAGGTTCCAAATATACTTATGCAAATAGAATAAGGGGAAGAAATAATAATTAAAAAAATATCAAAACCAAACAAGTCCTTCAACCTTTGAACTGGATTTTATTAGATCTGCGGGAAATAAAGCCATAATTTGCTATTCCCTGAATGACCACGCTGTATTGCACTATAAAAAGGTTAGTGGAAATTCTTACCTAATTAGAAAATATGCTGAAGTAAGCAGGTGCTACATAACACAAAACAAATATTGACCATGATTGTCAAATCTATATTGCAATATCTAATGACAATGGCTCTATGATTTAACTCTGTATAACTACTTTCACAAAAAACCTGTCATCAAATACTCTTATTTATCCCTGTGTTAGAAGCAAATGGCCACATAAAACACCCTTATTTATTTATTTCTGATGTCCTAGCTTAGCTATTGTGTTTGTATAGAGGCTTGATGCTTTGCCAATTATTCCGTTAAGAGCATTCTCTTCAAGAGAATAAAAGCTGTTAAAATATCAATAAAAAATCCTGTGAAACAGCATTACAAGAGTTTCATAAACGTAATGTTTCTGGTACAGTTTTGGGATTTACACCTTGTGTTGTCCTTTCACAGAAGCAAACATGCACAAAAGCACTGTAATAACCTCTTGAAATCAGATAATATTCCAAGAGCTCAGTTTCGCTGACAGAAGGGGCCTGGGCACAAGCCAAGAGGCCCAGGTGCACTGTGGCATGCCAGCATTTAACGCAGCCTAATATCAGATAGATGCTACTGAGAGAAAATACTCCGAATAAAGTACAGATAATAGCACGGACAACCACTCATTGCTAAATTACTTCTGCTCATCGTGCTTTGAGCTTTGTATTAAATTTTTTTGTCAAGTGGCAGGAATCACAGGGAGAAGTGGTTCAAAACTCCCTTCTTGTAACCCTGGATAAGGATCTATAATATTAGCCTTTCATATGATAATGGCAAATGATGCCCCTCTTTGAAAAATTTCAGGCTAGTAATGAAAGTCCTAATCAGATTGTTGTTGCAGAGAAGCAGGAGGTGGGGAGCTCTGTCCCTTCTTTCCTTTTCCCTTCCCTCCCCTCCCCTTCCCCCACATCTCCCTCCTGTTAGCAAATTCAGCAAACTTGACAAGATGGGTTAAGTCTTGGGGAATTTATCTTACATGAATTTCCAACAAAGCCCATGGATTGTTTTATACAACTGGAAGGCAGTGCTTTAATAAAAGCTGCACCACCTGAGGCATTTTCATTAAAGGCTCTCTCTAGACAACATCACAGTGTTTGCATTATCATCCTACACCCCCAAGAGAATACAAGCACTACCTTTTCAGCAGGAGTTGATATTGTGTGTGAAGGCACGAGAGAAGATGATTAGATTTCGCTTTCCCTCACAAAGTAACCGCTCCCAACAAAGCAGTGGTCAGGATTGCAATTCGCTGAATTTGTGTTGTCCACCATTTGAACGGTGAATTTTTTTTTTTTTTTTCAGGAAAAGACACATTCTGAAGGTTTTAATAGTCAGTCACGTGAACGAAGATTTTAATCCTAACCACGCATTATTCTCAATGACTGTACGATTTAAGCTATGTGGGCTCTTAACTAATGACGGTAATTAGCCGATTAGGACACTATAGAAAACAGGTGCAAGGCTCTGGAGTGGCAACATCAATGTACAGTATTAAGGATCTCTGGCATTTAAAATGATTAAACTGTTCAGCGTGTTTAGCAACAGGAAACACAAATCACTGAATTCTGAAACACAGCGTTATCTCTGTGGAAAAATTTCACGCGCATGCACTGAATGCATATTTAGAAAGGTTCACTGAGGCTTTCACCCATTTCAGTGGACTCACCATCTGTGTAGACTTCTCTGCGCAGATGTCCTGGCTGGTGTTTTTGCTTTTTGGCAGGTCGGACCTTCTGTATTACAACAGCACTCATGTTGCTGTCGGTAGATACAGGGCTGGTGGGTCTGGGACAGTGTGATGCATGAAAATGTCTACGGCCTGCAAATGGTTATTGAACAATAGCAATTATTCTTCTTACCTAAAATAAGACCTTTCATACTTTCTCTTTTCACATCAGAATGCTCTAGCTGTACAAAACCTAAAAATACACTGCTGGAACACCAGTAAAGCTCATCCAGTTTTAGAATGAGCTGTAACTAAATCGAAGCATTTGCTATCCTATCATTAGGCAGGCTGGCTTGGTTGCACAGAAATTATCCAGCTGCTTAGTAGCTGGTAGCTCCTGCCCCAGGAGCACGAAATCCATCAGCAGGCACGCACAAACAGGATTCCCATCCAGCCAGTTTCTGGAAAGAGCACGCTTCCCTTTCAGGTTCCCCCTCCCCTAGCTTGGGCTGCACAGGGTCATCCCTGCCATAAGCAGAGCAAGTGACCAGAAGGACTTGGGTACAGAAGTCCCCTCTGCCACTTTGAGTGAATTTTCAGGAATGCATTGAGGCTGGATGACTGGCATTAATCACAGATTATTTGCAGGTAAGAAGTGTCATCTTTTTAGGACATGCAGTCAGGCACACATAATACCAATACATATATAAATCATTGCATAAAATGAACATAACTTTTGCAAAAATATTAGCAACAGGATGTAAAAGACCTTTTCTAAATATGTAAGTCTCTACACATATTTATAGGAATTCATTTTTACAAAATGGATAAAATCCTGGCCCCATGGGTATGAATGGGAGTTTTGCCACCTACTTCAATCGGTCAGGATTTCATCCAGAATTACTAAATTACCTCCCCTCTCACTCTTCATGATGAACAGCTGTGTTGAAATGAAACAAAGGACTGTTAACTGGGAGAGGATCTCTGAAGTGGGAGGAAGGTTGAAAATCTGTGGAGTCAGGGTGGACACAGTTGTGACAGAGTACCTCTTCTGCAGGTCTGGCAGTTTAATAGGATTGATTGTCAAAACATTCATGGAACTGCCTGAAACCTGCATCCCAGCCTGCTGTATTCTCAGTTTTTAGATGAAGTGTAACAACATCCATTTGGCCTAGTAAGGTTACTGATTATCTGTATATATCCAGTGCTACTAGTATCCAGTATCTTGCAAAAAATGAAATATCATGTTTCATATGTTCAGTGGTGTTTCAGGAAAAACACAAACATATGCATAAGGCCCTGCTGCAGATGCATAATCTATAATTTAAAATGCAACTCGTAACAGCTATCAAAATATGAAACCAACACAAAGGCAATTCATCCCAATAACACAACAGCAAAAGCCTGAACAAAATTCCTCAAAAAAGAAAACCAAATCCAAATCCAGGGAAAACATGAATCTAAATGTTTACTATTTATTTGGACATTTCAAGAGAGAAGGATTAAATCTTCTCTTGTGACTGAAACTCTTCAGATTAACTGAAAACACTGTGAGCCTTACACTGGGAAAAGACAGACTTCTAGAATCCTTTTTTTTCACCCTCTCATTCAGTTCTGAGCGTAAATCCACCAGCAGGGTTGGTGTTTGTCTGTGATCAGCCAGACCAAAGAACTAGGAACTACTTATGAAAAACACTGTAGAGCAGCAATTTATTTTAACTATTTCACCAAAACTCCGTTTCTGCCTCTTCCAGACTTCTAAACATCCCAAGAACAGGAGTTCAGAAAGCGCCTGTGGACAGGTTCGTTTCACAGTGGCCACTTTTTTGGTCCTCCCGTGGAGCAGAGGACAACTCACCTCCTGCTGCCTCGTGCATTTGCCGTCTGGCCACTTTGAGGCCGGCGTACTCGGCGGCTGCTGCGACGGCCTGTGCAAAATCGGCGTCGGTGAAGAACGATCCGTCGGAGGAGCTGACGCTGGAGCGCCCGCTGGAGATGTTGTCTTCTTCAGAGGCCGAGCCCCAGCCATTGATCATGGACCCTGTCACGGAGCTCTCCAAATCCCCGACGCTGGAGGCAGGGGTCTGCTCCAGGCCACGCAAAAGGAGCCTCCTGTTCTGCATCTTGGCAACCTCTATATCCGCCTCGTCCTCCTCCTCTTCTGGGGCGTCGGTATCCATGTCAGAGACCAAGGGGCCTGAGATGTATCCATAGGTATGTGGTGGGGAGATGGGCCTTGGAGGGGGTGGAGGACTCACAGGTTGTTGACGTCTGCATAAAAACACAAGGGTGAGAAGAATTGAAATCATGTAATGAAGTCAGAAGAAAGAGCAGATTGATGAAAATAGTTTTTTTATTTCCCAGCAAGCAAGGTCGACCTTTTTAAATCAACGCAGTTTATATCTGAAATGCTCAGGTTTGTTTTTTTAATTTATACTTTTGCTAGAAATCAGAACTGACAGCTGTGTAGCTTGAAATCTATCACAAAGAAGTCTGATTTTTTAATACACTTTCTTTACCACTGACTTTAATGATAAAGCTGTTAGTTTTCCCTAAATAACACATGTAGAGCTAAGCAAAGAGTTGGTTACAGATCATGTGGCTATTAAAAAAATTATTTGTGCACCCTTGAGAGTATAAGCAACAGAAATAACTGTAAACATATAGCTTGAAACTATCAATGCCAACAGATGCATCTATCCAAATAGACTGCTCCATTAACATTATCTTCCCTCACCCACCTTGGTGATTCAGAAAGATATGAAAAGAGAGACTGCAATTTCATTATTTTTTAAATTGATTTAAGTGATGAAACAAAATAATTTTCTACCATACTGTCAGTTCTAAGCCTTAGGGGTACCAACATGCATACAGATGTATAGGTTAACTAATTTTGATCTTAATTTGTCAGTCATGGTATCTCCAGCTAAAGGAAACAAAGTATAAGATATCAGATCAATGTTCAAGATTAGTTAATACTTCACTCACAAGTACCAGGTATCAACATTGTCAACAGTTCTTCATGGGGCCACAGACACACTCTTTAACTGCCATTTGTTAGGCAAGAAAACACACTTTCTGCAGTAATGGTTCTCCTATTCTCTGTTGGCTGTGCTCACCAGGAATTTCTACTGCAGTCTGCTTTGAAAAAAATTTCAAAGTAATTTTCCTTTGTCAACTTTGCCCTCTTATTATCTCATTGAGAAATGGTGAGTCTCATGGTTAAATCTACTCTTTTGTGTGGGTGTCATGCAATTTTGGTTTTGGTTTTGTTTTTTGGTTGGTTTTTTAAAAATTTTAATAAATGGGAATACATATTGATTTTTGAAAGAAATGTAAGCATGGAAAGACCTAATACTCTTGTAGCAAGAGCAAATTGGATCCTCCCTGGACTACATCATTATTGTTTTTCACTTGCTGCATTAAGTACTGAACAGAATGAAAAATAGGGATAAATATTCAATAATAATTTTATAACAGCACCCCCAAATCCCAGAAGCTGTTGCTGCCTGTAACCTGCTTTGACTAGAGACCTTGCCCAATATAGTCTTATGATCTTAATTTAAAGCTCTTGTGACAAATGTCCTTGTGATGTATTTGTCTATTCTCTAGGTTTTGGTATTAGAAGACAGGCAAATGGTTAAAAAATATGTTAGGGTTCTTGAAAGTGTAGTTTAACTGCCAACCTTTAGGGATAGGATAATTGAGAACAGCTGGTTCATGGCCATACAAAATTAGCAATACTTTATCTCATGCAGGTTCTCACTTTCACAATGACATTGTCTCCTGTCTCAGCTCTGGGTTCAACATGATACCACCTGCTATCCCACTAAATCTTTTGGTTTTTTTCTCTGCTTTTTGACTCTTCCAGACCACAGGTTTGTATTTCAGTTTGCTGTAATTCCAGCAAGCTCACCAGACAGAGAAATATTACAGTACACCCTCACCATCAGATTCCTATTCCAGATGCCTGGTTCTGACTAGCAAATTAAATAATACCCAGCAGAACTATGAGTAAAGCTAATAAAAGGTGTGACAAACAGCATTTCAGGCATTATTTTCTCTACACATCATTTACCATTTCACTATACACTGTTTACAAAACACCTGAAATCAGTGTGGAAGGGCACCACTTGGAATGTATTCTTAGTTTGAAACAGGACCCCACCCTTCCAGAACGGGTTACAGCTGCTGAGCACAGGACACCCAATTCCTCAACAGCAGCTCTGGGTCGTATCAACACCAGCAAATGGAACAGGTAACCAGCCAAGCCTTACAAATCAAATAAATAGGATTATATGACTACTTTTAGACTGATGAGATGGATGCAGCAAAAAGAAAAGAAACAATGTTTTTAAAAGTACGATGGAAAAGACAAAATTAGTCACTAACAAATTCTAAGATTTTCAGCAAAGCTAGACTAAGCCATTGTAGGAAGGACAAAATAAATATATATTTTATTTTTTCAGTCCACACAGCTGCTGGCTGGTTATGCATGTTTGTGTACATCTGCTTCTGTGTCTACTCCATTCTGTATGTCAGGACACATGTCCTGATCTCCAGAAAATCACAGAGATTCTGGAAAGTCACTCATCTCTGTTGGTGACTTTAGCTTTTCCCCTTTTCATTTGTGTCCACCTAGTTTTACCTGTCAAATAACCCAGAAAATTAAAGTGATTAAAATGAACACTTCTGTGGACCAGCCTACCAGGCCAGTGGAAATTACAGGAAATTAGTCATCCAATAATTAAAAGAGTGATTTTTAAAGACTCAGGAAGATAAGGAAGAGGAAAGGAAAGAAGAGGAAAGGAGGAAAAGATACACAGTACATGTGTTGCTATAAAGAGTAAAGGAAACAAACCACATCAAGTAGGGGGGAGGTAAAATAAAAGCCGATATAGACCCCTTTAAAAAAAGATGCATAACTACTGCCTACTTAAAAAATGGGAACCATAAAAATGACCTAACTTTTAAAAAACATTCCGGAAAACACATCTATAAATATCCAGTAACTTATGCAGAAAAATCAAAGCTCTCCAGTCTACTTAGAAAAATCATATAAATTTCATTGTAAAAGGTTTGCATTTTGCTAAAAATAGAAATTCTACATAGAATGCTATCAGTAAGTTTATATATTTATAGCAATAAACAATCTGTGCAAACCACTGGAGGAAAGAGATAATAAAAGCCCATCATTTGGGATGGAAAAGCTGTGCCTTCTTAACAAAAGCCAAGAGATGTAAGCATCGTACATAAAAGGGCTCATTCAGAATTCACTGTTTTATGGGAGAGAAGCTGTGAGAGTTTATATGCAAAACAGTTATAAAAGCAACTCAGAGAAGAAACAAGATATCCCTGTAGCAAATATCTGTCTTTATTAATGTTGGTCATTCCTTTAAATAAGGTTAGATGGAAATGTTAAGAAAATTTTGCAAGCAGTAATTTCCTGTATTAGGATTTATGAGAGGAGCAAAATCTATAGGTTATATAAATTATATATTTATATATATTCATACATATTGGTGACAAGTTAATTGCACAGTTACTGTGAAATAATGCATGCTATTTTATGGTAATAATGCAGTAAATCTATTGGAAACAATGGAACTGTAATTATATGGTAAGCTGTGCTAACGATACCACTTTAATAACCTGATGACTGTGAATTTAACTTATGTCAGCATCATATGTACCCTAAAGTGATATACTGCATTTCTTCCCATGGTACAATAATAAAGCAACTTAATTACTTATTTCCTAGGTTAAAATAGTTCTAGCATCCTGGGTTAGAAGTTAAAAAGCAACAGAATAACGGGGAAATTGTTGGCCTCACTAAATTCAACAGGAATTTTCAGTGGGGCTCGGATGACTCTTGTCACATCTCTCTCGCTACATTTGCATTCACACACCTCCGGTCAGGTTGGTGTTGTGTGTGTCCCAGATCCTCCTGACAGTCCTGTAACATGGGCTGGAGTTCTTCCTGGGGAGAGGGGGTGAGAGTGGCAGTTGACTGATGGCTATAGGAGACAGCGGCTGGAGAGGAAGCTGCTCCTCGCACAGGTGGAGTAGGACCTCGCTCATCTTCTTCCTCTTCCTCTAGCTCATCCTGCTGCAGATACATCCTTGCAGGTGGCACAGGACAAGGAATTTCTTGGTCATAGCTAAAATTAATTTTTTAAGAAAATAAGTACTTAAATTTGTGCTGTGTAATTAGCATATCTGATACATGTATTAATAGCCCAGAAACAAACCATTGTTCTCTGTGCTCTTGAGAACAGCTCAGTAAGGATGTGCTGAGTGGATGCACACCACTGTCACTAAGTGCTCTCCAAATTGCCACGCTACAGCTCAATGAGCAGCACCAGAACAGTGCTGGAGGAAGGTCTCACTGCCAGCTTGTAGGGCAAATCACACATCAATTAACTAGTGATTAAAGTGGGAGGTGCACAACGCCTTCCTCTTTCTTACCCTTCATCCACTGAAAGACTGTAATCTTCGCTGTTGCTGTGGGGAGGTGGATGTGCTGGAGGGGGTGGGAGAAGATCTGCCCAGTTCATGCCAGCTTGCTTGGGAGCCTTTGGGGTCCGAGCACCCTTCTTGTGCCCTTGACTCCCTGGGAATAAAAAGCAGCACATATTTGTAATGTTTTGAAGTCTCTCCTCAGCACTAGCTGAGGTGAAAACCAAAACAACTTTAGTCCCTTCCCAGATGCTCATGCATTCTTTGAGAATTTACTGTTTTGCTCATTTTGGAGCAAATTATTATTCCTCCTTTTAACACTAGTTTGGTGATTGTAGCTTCTTTGTAGAATTGGTCTACATTTTAAGTGGTTGAATTTAACCAGGAACTTTACATAGTGTGTAAAACACACATGGGATACAAAACTTTAATTTTTTAAATAAACAGCCAAAATGTGATAAAACCATAAATGAATTTTACAAGCAATGTCATTAAGAGTGAGCTTCCTACTTCTGTTAATTACATTAAAGATTATCATCTAAAACAAATGAGTTGTAGACATATTTTCTGAAGTGCTTTATCCTGTTTAATTGCTAGAACCTAAAATACAATATGATACAGATATGATCTATTAAAGTTCTACTGTTGCATTAAGTCACTGAATATAGGTAATTTGTACTTGTCCACTGAAACATTTTAGGCACAATGAAATTACTACTTTTAGTCTAAATGGCAGGTGCAGTTGAAAATAATTGCTGGAAGAACTAAAATAACAGGAAAGAAATAAAGATTGATGAAGTATTTCACAAATGTTTTCAACTACTATTACTGGAAAATTACAGCTTATAATAAAGCAATGCAGCTTTAACAGTTCAAACAACTGTGAATAAGACCAATTATTCAGGTAGTTGCAACTTTTAAGTTTGGATGCAGCTAAGATGAGAACTGGCTCAACCACTGTTCCTTGGTATAGATATACATTTTAATCCTTTGCTATTGTTACATCTTTATTATAGATAGACTCCTTTTATGTAGATAAAGTCACTGTGATTTTGAGTATGTTTTAGAATCCTTCGCGTTACTCTCTTAAACTGAGGCATGATTTTATATTGTCACAGTAAAGCATTATATGCATGATTAAATACACTGCAGTGAGATTAAGGAAGGGTTTTTTTTTCACTTCTGCTGTCTCAGATTTTCCACTCTTACTAAGAGTAGTTCTGGTTATTATCGTCCCACATTAGCTGCCAGATACACATGTTGGAGCTATGTTAAATTGTTTTTGTGGTATCTTATTATGTCAACCAAGACACTAACTATGCCAAGGCAACCTGCATACTGTATCCTAAGCACCATGATATATACATGGTTCAACACAATTAATTTATTACTTTGGTCACCTTTCTTCATTCCTGCTGGAGTTCTTGGCATAGGACTATAAATTGTTAGAGTTATGAATAACCCTAATAGATATCAGCATGGAGAACACCACCCTTTCATTTTTAATTTGCATGGTTCATACCCCTGAGATGTTTCGTGCTGAATTTCAAGTCGTAACATCATTGAACACAGGCTCAGCACCACATCCTGATCTTTTAGACCTGAGAATGGGCAAAAGGCTGCCTCTCAGAGCAACACCTGGGAGACAGCTGGGAGAATTGGGAGCTGTGCTTATCTTCTCCCAGCCACTGAGAATCCAGATCATCCAGAGGCACAGCAGGGCTCATCAACATATTTATGTCTCTGCTGTGTCTTGGTCAGAATCGGTCAAGACAAAGCAGTCTTGATTGGTTGGGATTAAGGCAACAGTGCCAGAAAGAAAACAGCAGAACAGAATGGGGAAAGTCTGTATCTTGATTAGTAGATGTAAAGTTCAGGACACTTGTGACTGTGGCCATAACTCACCCTGAAATTGGTTTGATATAAATAAACACAGCTTAACTACCACACTTAAAGCCCCAAACCAAGCCTATGTGTAGTTTCTGGTTTAGCTCATATACCTCTACCAGAAATCAAACTTGGAAGTGAAAGGTTATACTACAATGATAAAACGTAACTTTCTAATTAAAACATTTTCTGTGGTCCCTAAGTACAGAGTGCACAAAAAGCTGTTTTGTTTCAAGAATTTTACAAAGAATTTTTAGATAGTTTGTATAGGAGATGCCAATGAGAAACAAAGTTTAATTATTTACCATCTATATCTAAATGATGTACAAAAATAATTTTATTATAATTACAAAAACAATCACATATAGTGACTGAAAGCTATAAAAATTTTATGTATGCCTGAATGCTCTTTTACTCAATGAAATGCATGGGTTTAATTTACAAAATGAAAAACTTCTTAAAGCAGAGTTCTGTTGGGTATCACTCATCTGCTGTGTATCTTGAACTGGTTCATGAATTGGGTAAGTAGACCCAAGAGATGAGAAAGAAAGTCACTAAAGTGCAAGGAAGGTAACACATAAATTAAAATACTTTTTTTTTTTGGTGGCAGTTAGAAAGAAATTGCTATGACTTGCCCATCTGGAAAACACAACATTACCCAGTACACCATCAGCATTAGGAAATCAAGCTGCTATTCGAGTTAATGACTTCCAGAATTTCAGAAAATCTGTTACTTAACTGACATTTAGATGACACTAAGCAATCCTGAGGATGCAACAGAAATGCAGGCACCTATTGGGACAGTTTTTGTGCTGTTCAACATCGACTGTCCATGGATTCCTCCCCATCACTCCTTCTATAAGCCCAGTAAATATTGCTAACCACGGTACAGCATGCAGGCACCACAAAGCCTAAGGCTTGGAAAGCACTGCAGGTACTCACCAGATGTACTACTGCCTCTGTCTGAGCTGTTGTAGGATCCACCTGTATTCTGGTCATAGGACTGGTTGTAGGGAATAGTTGGAGCAATGTTGTCATTTACTCGGTAATCTGCAAGTTTAATGGTATGGTTAATGCTGTCCTTCAGGAACACGTCTACTTTTACATACTTGTTTTATAACACAAAGTAAGATCTCCTTTAAGTAGTGAACTAGAAACAAATTCATTTTGTGAAGGAAAAATCATCCTGCAATCATGTTTTATTTTTATCTTGCCTCTTATTGTAGGCTTAGGGGAAATCATGGGAATTTAGTAGCTGCACAGCTAAAATGCAGCAAAATGGAATTCTGTGCACAGGGTTTTCAACCTCTGCAAAGCCTCTGTAACCATCAATGGTTATCTATCTATCACCTATGTGAGCTTTCGCATACAAATACTGTCACCTTGATTGATTTGCCATGGTCTCTGCCTAATTTATGCATGCAGGGCAACCAATGGACTGCAGTAACTACTTTTGGGATTTCAAAGGTGACACACCCACATAGGAGTCAGCTCTGTATGACAAGAGCTGAATGATCTGCTGGAGCAACAATGCTTCTCCAACTGAATTTGGCTTACAACAGAAGAAGTCTTTGTTTCAGATCTGCTGGCTCCAAGAATATTTTTATTTACACTGGATCATGCAGGTTTTACAGGCAGGGTCTTTTTTGCTAATAGCTGTCACCATAACTTTGCTCTCCAGTTCCAAAGCACTTGGTATACAACACTTACTACTTTTAAATCTAGATCTGGCAACCAGATCTGTAAAACTTCATCAGAAGTAAAATATTAATCTGGCAGAACAATACCCTTGTGCTAAAAAGCAATTACAATTTACAGAGAACAGACAGGAGGTAGGTTACTCTTCATACAGCAAATAAAACTGCGTCATAAACAGAACCACTGGACATAAAGTAGTGACGATGAAGCACAGCGTGTAACTCATCAAAATAGTTACTTCTCATCACAAAAGCTATAGGTATAATCAGCAGCAAGATGGCTTTGACTTAGGAAATGAGAAAACCAAGATCAGAATATCGACTCATAAAATAGCAAATCAAAACAAAAATAAACAAAACTAAGAATTCAGTTCCCATCTGCTGCAGAAATGTTTGTGATAATGTAAGCATGGGGAAAAGAGCAAAATGATAAATTTCACACTAGAGCGTATTCTGTAATAGTTTCTCAGCCTAGTTGCATTCCACAGACCACGCTGAAGCCCTACATACAGCATATGTTTACACAGAGGATAAACAGTAAATCAGCACTCTGAAATATGTATATATGACTGTCAGCAGACAATGCTTTAAGGGGGCCTTTCCACACTACAGTATGCTAGAGAATATGCAGCTGTAATATACACAATTTGAAAGATGTAGTATCTTCCACCACATAAAAACCAAACATGTTTTAATTCCCAAAGAGGTACGTAATACACAGTTCATGAAAGAGAACAATTACAAGAAATACAGCTTTCACCCTCTAGTAAGGAGCCAAAACCCTTGAATTTTCTTTTGGCATGTTTATGTCAAGGGAAGGTGTGACATTTTATATTGCCCTTTGAACTCCTCTGTGAGTAGATGGGTCCAGTAGAGAAATCAATATTCCTGTAATGAAATGTCTCTTTTTACTGGATCACTTATCACTATGTGATCACTTGAGTTACAACAATCCATGCAAAAAGTTCCAAGTTAGAATGGGTCCAACTCCTAGGGATACTGTTTTGCAAATCAGGTTATTAAAAGAGGTTGCATGGTAGCCTGGAGGACTAGAAAGAAGAAATCACATACCTATTTCTTCCAGCTCCCACACAGATTATTAAAGAAACATGCCTTCAAGGCCTCAAAAGCACATTCTGATGTTTCCCGTTAGCACTGAAATAAATTTATTTTTAGCTTCTGGATCCACAGACTTCAGTCAGGGTAACACAGGAATTTAGTTTCCAAAATTGTGTGCGGTAGCATTGCCTCTCAATATCAGAATTGAAGGCTTGCTAGGAACAAGTCTAAAATGAATTGGATCACTCCATTTGTGCCCCCAGTGTACAACACAATACAATTTTACAGAGTTTGATATGCAAAATTTCATTCGTTTACATGAGCATGTAGATTTAATGAGTCTCCATCCACGACTGGGAAGAGTGGGTTGACCTATTTAAAATTTAAGGTAGAATATAATGTGACTACCATGCATCTGGCTTATGAATAAAATATCTGGCCTCTGTCCTAACCAATCCCTTAACTACTATTAAATTTAAATTAATCTCATATCCATAGGAAACGTATTTTATTTAACTCTTTTCTAAAGATACAGCTTGTTATTTTTCACAATAAATTCAGTATCAGAAAGGTTATTGTGGTGCTAATTAACTTTCCGACACTGCAAATGGTGTATTTCTGAATCTAAAGAAGCAGAAGTCTAAAAGCACTGAAGAAGCCTGTAATTGCTGAACCTGAAAGCTTTAGACTCCCAGAACCAGAAGGTCAAAACTCCTCTGATGCCTAAAGAGGAGAAACAAGCTAAAAGCTCTTCACCTTTGTTTAATTTGTTTTGCTCCATAATGTTGTACTGTATGGGTGGAACCTCTTGCTTTTGCTGAACAGAGGGTTTCCAGTGTTTCTCATTCGAGTCCCCGCTGCCATTGTTAACATTATTGCTGATATTGGACTGGATGAGCTGAGTGGTGGCATAAGGAGTGGGCTGCCCAGGCTGGCTGACAAATCTTCCATCCTTTAGATTTGGACTATTGAAGGTTTTCATCTCATTGATTTTGTTGCTGAGGTCCACGTCCCCATATACAGTTGACTCAGGCAACATCAGGTTTGTCTGCTTGTTGTCCAGCTGATTGTTGTAATTTGCTATACAATCGGCTAACCACAGAGGAGAGAAAAGAGAAAAGGTCATTCTGTTCGCTCACACCAGACTTTCCACGAAACCCCCTCTAACATTTCCTCACTGCACAACTACATGGCTTGAATCCATGTAGCAGACACCCTGAGACAGAGATACTGCCATTAACTACATATAATTTACAGCATATTATTTACCTTATACACCACTGCTCCAAAAGTAGGGTTCACTCTTCTGATTCACTGTAAATTCAGACCTGCTGAATTACATCTACAATGACTTACCTTGCTGGGCTTTTCCACAGAGGCCATATAAACATTCAGGGTTTTAGACATTGTTCTCATAGCAGTATATATATTCAATTAGTAATTGTGATTAGAATCACTTGCATTGTAAGGGAAATTCAACCAAAACCAGCAGGAGTAACTAAATAAGAACTTCAACTCATATCACCTCAACAGTATCTAGACACTCTTGTATTTGTGGTAAGAAATAGACATACAACAGGTTTTCATAAAATAGACTTAGAAATGATTACATATAAGAGAATTAAAGAAAAACAGTACAAGGCAAAAGGTAACTCAGTACCCAGTAGCAAGTCTTTATTTGATCATTGTTTGCTTGTACAATCTTATGTTTTAATTTGAAACAAAAAAGGCAGAAAAGCAATCTGGAATTTTTGCTGATTTTCAGTTGCTTTGGATATTGCAAAATATGTAATAGCACAGTAATACATTGTCATGTATGCTAAAGATATATCGTATAGACAGCATGAATTCATTCTTCTGACATTTACTGCATCCTGAGACCACCACTTATTGCAGACAGTAAATTGACATATGCTGATGCTCTGGCCACTGCATGAAACAGTGTCCCTGCCTTGGATGTTCTCTTGTCACTGCGTGACATGAAGCCCACATATTTTTTTCTCTCCACATCCAGTCCACTGGGAGAATACTGAATGAAGTAAAGTAGTCTGCAGGTCAGCAGTTAGAAGGCTTAGTGGAACTAGAATTCAATGATCCTTAAGCAAAAATTCTCATTTTCCAGTTGATTAATGCATCAGTAATTACATAACACTCACCAGGAATATATTTTTCCTCTTTTAAAAGAAGTGGTATTTATGCTAATGAATTTAATTCAAAACCCGAAGTCCATTACCTGTGTCCACAATGAATTTACTGGAGAGGATGGCAAGTGAAACTACATACAGAATTCAAGATTTTACCATTACTCTTAACGAAATAACTAGCAAACATAGAGGATTTTCAATTCCAAAAACATTCCCTAACACATACATAATTTTAAGGATATATTACCCAAGAAAGGGGAATAAAATAATGCTTGTGTAAGAAAATCACCGATCCACATTTTCAGCGACTAAGGAACAGTATCAGAACATGCCACATACAACTTATCACTGCACATTTCACGCCCCCCAGCCTGTGGGTTTTTTGGAAGGCTTTACTGTTTGATATATTTTTCCTTCTTATGTGAGGTGTTTTTTACTGCCTCTGTTAGTTATTGCTTCACAGTCTTCAACTTCTTGATTTCTAGAGTTTAAATGTTTTCATTTCTCTCACCTATTGCATACTGGTCTTTCTTCCTTTCCCAGTCTATTGTATTATACTGGGCAATAATATATACAGTATATTCTTCACTCCTGATACCTCAGGCTTTGCAACAATAGCCTTGCAGAATCATTTAGAACATCTGTTTTTACCTCCTTTCATTTGCAGCTACATCTGATTTGTGTGTGAGGCAATATAATCAATACAGTATATGCAGTAGGTACATTTTTTACATAGACACATTAGACTTCCTCATAACAAGTATTTAAAACTGGTTTACCTATATATAGCAGAAGATTTATCTAGTTAGATTTTTTATGGCATCTACTTTTAGAACAATCGGTTCCTGTTCTGTAGACTTGGAAGACAGTGCTATATTGAAAAAAAGCAATTAAAAATGCAGCTACTTTGCATATTCACAACTACTGGGGGGATATCCATCACTGCTGCTTCAGAGCATAAACCAGCCCATGATGACAGAATTAAGAAAATTTGGCAGATTTTCCAGGAAAGAAGAGACCACTCTGAGCACATTGTCTGACCCGCAAGCTCCGAAGTTCTATTTGAAAGGAAGGAAACACTGTGACAAAACCAGCTTAATATGAAAGCTAAAATGAGGGAGAATCCACTGCAGTTCAATGCAAGATATTATAATAGGTTGCAACCATAAAAAACATGCCTTCTCTTCCTTTTCTGAATTTGTTATTTACTAGAATTGCTATGTCTGTCCTTGCCACAGTGAACTATCCCTGAATCACAAACCTTTTTATACAGGTACTGGTGAATGTGTATCCTCAGCCAGACTGAGAGAAAAGCCTCTAGTGCCAAATTCTCTCACCTTGCTCTGAAGCAGCTTGCACTGGCTACTGTCAGACAGCATTACTGCAGATGAATTGCCATTACTGCCACTCATGAATTACCAGCCATTGGAGCTGGTTTCACATTAATTACAGGAGGTAATGCTGCTTGGCACTTATGCGACTTCACACACTCCCCCTCTGGATTGCTGGGACATGCTACTAGCAAAAACCAGCAAAACTTGTAGTGGAAAAGCCTTTTTCATTCCTCACCAGTAACATAAAGTTAAACCAAAGGGAACCTAAGGTCTGTTTAAAACAAAATGGGCAACAATTAGCACTCTGAGATAAACTTCCTCAAATGTGTTCCATAGAACTCATGAGGTTTTCTTCCAAAGCTCTCTGAGTCCTGCTCAAGCTCCCAGGAACTACCACCTAACCTAATATTTTGTTGCTTTAAGTGTATGAAGTGAACTACTTTATTTATACACCCTAAACAGAACACCAGCTGTCCAGTTTTGTTCAGAATGGCATTCAAAGTGAACTTCTGAGTGTGCCAAAACAGACTGACTTTGTTGCAAGCACTGTAGCACTGCTTTTTTTATTTCTTGCTTCCCATCACATCCAAACCAGAAGGAAAACCACACTTGCATAATTTTGGTCTTTCTCCTTCTCCATCCAAGCAACAAGGAGGTACAAAACAACCCAAAAAATTACCTTATCTGCTCTATTCAGAATCCAAAATGTATTAGTTCAGTGCGAGTTTTGACAGCATTTAACTTTGCAGGGGCTCCTAAAGCCTGCTGCAAGTATCCAAAGAGGACCAAGAAAGGATCCAAAAAAGGAACAAAAGCACTATCATGACATAAAGGAGACACTATATTAAGCCTAGAATCATTGGAAATGAAAACCCAAAGAAACCTGTACACTCTCTCAGGTATTAGAAGCACGTACTCTGTAAAGAAGATTCCTTAGCAAGGTAGAAACATATCTAACCTGGTCGACTGTACGTTGTGAGGTTGCTATCACTGTTGCCATTGCCAGAGGTGCAGCAGTTGATGGAGCAGTCATTGTGATTGTTCCCTGTGTTAGGCCAAGTATCTGCTAACCATGGCTGAGTGGCTGGTTCACTGATGTTTAGGAGTCCAGGCCTTTAAAAACAAAGCTTGGTCATTTCAAAAGTTAAACAAAAGCATTTTCATATTGCAGTGACATTCTTCCCAAATGGTGAGATATTACAAAATAATACCATGTACCAAAAGGCTTGAGTACTGAAAAACTCAGCTTGATTCAATTATTTAGCATTTTCAAGTCTCTTGTCTAACCTGTTCCTTGCTAAATCATTCAGGAGTGAGTAGTCAAGGGCAGCACCACTTCATTTTGCTGGACTACACTATTATGTTGGTGTGCAACAATTATCTGTCACTTTGGTTTTCATTTTTAAAATTTTTTTTCTCTTAGGAGGTTGCACTTTTATTTTTCTGCCCCTTCACCCTTTCTTAAAGAATGCAAGGTAAAAAAGAGGAGATTAGCAAGTCAAATAAAAAATTCACACATGGAAGCAGAATGGAAATGCATAAGTAAGAACTAAATTTAAATGTGAATATTCCCAAATTCTTGGTTATTTATGGAACAAGTTCTCCTCACCATCAGATAGTACTACTGTGGTGCATCATAGGGAAGAGCAGATAACAGATGTGGCTTGGGAGCATTTGGAACTCAGTAACCATGCTGAGTGGGGGACACACACTTGGCCATGAGAAAGCCACTCATCTCCTAAGAGAGTCTGAGGTACTTGGGAATACTGACCATCTGAAAAACATCCAGATATGAATGCTGCATGCTAGCTGCATTTGGAACAAAGTGTATTCCTGTCATCAGCATTCCTACTTTTCCAAGTTGCTGAATTTTTGTGGTGAGTGTGAAAGTCTTTCTGATGAACGTTCTGTAGAATCTTTGGTGGCTCTTGAGTTTTTATGCTAACAATGCAGTAGGGCATATTACAGTCCCACACAATTTAAAATTGCCTTTGATAACTAAGTTGCTTTTAAAAAAAAAAGATAATTTAGCTACTGTCACATACACAAATATGAACACAGTTCCCTTCTCTTGGGATTTAACAGGCAACTAGCATTTGAAATAGTGCAAAACTATTTTCCATAATATTAGATGCGATGATCTTCAAAAATAAAATATGCTAATCCTCTTAAACTGCAAGTTGAAAATACAAGCTGCATGCAGTTATTTGTCGGGGATAGAGTCTGTCAGTGCTGCAGGCTTAAGTCATGGACTTAGAATGACATTTAAAAGATCTATACATATATGTGTGTATATATATATTTCTGTACTGCATATGTCATCTGACAATTTAACATAGGAGATGATGAGGCTTGACTTGCTGTCAGGCTTACAAACCAGCCAATATGCATCCAGTAAGGAAGTATTTTTAAAAAAAAAATCTGAAATAAATATGCAGCTGTGTAGGCTTGTGAGCAGGCCAGCTGATTTGAAATTCCCTGCTTTTTTCCCTACACTCTGCTCTTACAATGAACCTACACCTCAAGGCATTTAGAGGAGACAAAACATCTCAGAATGTTTCAGCACTTTAAAGATCTGTGTACTGGTTTGTTGCACAGAGAATTAAAGAGCCTTTGTTTCTAAAATTTACTTTGCGTTCACACCTGCTGTCATGTAAGAAATGTGGTGTGATGTATATAATCAGACGAGATTTCTACTAATTGGAGACATTTAGGTGGAACTGCAGACAAGAGATGCTTGCATTACAGATCCATAACCTGGTGATGATTTGAGATCATAATTTCCAAAGATCTTTCACCTTGGCAGCAAATTTCTTGACTCCCTGAATTACTGGAGGGGTTTGAGGCAGGGGTGGACAGAGCCAAGTGGCTGTGTGGGTGCTGGCTGGAGTCAACCCAGCACAATTATCATTACTCAAATCCTGTCTAGAGAAGGGATTGCCACAGAAATGGGTATTTTGTCAGCATCACACAAGTGGGGATTATGTTGAAATATATCACTGTGACATTTTGAAATCTGAAAAATGCTTTAACATGCTCACATAACTGCACTTGGCAAAAATGCTAAACCTTTCCAAAACACTGCAAATATAAAGTAAGAAGTGAAAACTTTAGGTTTGGATATAAGAAGACTGTTTCATATGCAAAAGTAACTTCTTTGTTTTGGTTTTTTTTTTGGGTTTTTTTTTTTTTTTACATTGCAAAACTATGTTTCACATTCTACAAAATAAGTTACATCACACATGCTGTCAATGCTATATATGCAAATGAACAAAACCAGCACAGATGTTCGCACCTTGAATCAATTACATTGTTAGATTCTGGCACTGCTGCTGAACACTAGGACAGAAAAACTGAAGCTGATTTCTCTAGAAGTACCAAAGCTACTGTGCAAGTAATGTAGACACTGGTGGGTTCATTTCTGTTCTCCATGTGAGAGTGCTTCATCTAGCATGTGCTAAGGGAAGAGTGAGAAAGCAGTGGCACAAAGAACACAAAGGATGTTAGCTGAGTATCTTTTTTAACAACTCTCAGGAAAAGAGAGGGTTCATCCCTCTTCTCTTCTATTTTCTCACTATCCTGTTGTAAGGGCAGCAACCTGGTGATTTACAGATTTTTCCATTTAAAAATCACATGGTAACTGTTCTAGAGGCTTCCCTCCATGCTCCCGTGGCCATGAGAGCACAGCAGCACACAGTGCTGGGCAGAGGTATCTGCAATTCCTCATAATATGCCCGGTCCAGCTGCAGCTGGAGCTGAATAGCCTCACCTCTGTACAGCACTCAGGTAGACTGGGAATGCTTTATTCTATGCCTAATCTTCACAATTACCAAATTTTTGCATGGTCTTGCAAATTAGGAATCACAGGATGCCACTTATGAACAGGAATTCTTACAGGGCTTTGTTGCCCAGCTGGTCTCTGAGATTTTAGCATTATTTCAGCATCATGCCAAATCTTTGAATGTGGCCTAGTAAAAAAATGGTGTGCTACTAAAGCACCACTGCTCTGACCTGCCTTTCTGCTAAAACCATTATTTTTCCTCCTGAAGAAAACTTCACCCCTACAGAGGAAATGTAAATTACTGCTTTCTCCATGGCCATTCATTAAGTAATAACGCAAACCCAGTGAACATGCCTTAGTTAAATCCTCAATCTGGCATGGACCTGGTTCTCAGAGTGGGTGGCTGTAAATTTACAACCTGCTTCCCTCTCTCTTCCCTCTCCCCATCTATTTTAAGCAATGCTTTAACTGTTCTGCATTAACAGAATGATTTTTTCTTGAAATGTCACCTTATAGGCCATTTATGTCTTCAACAATTTTTACCAATAAACATTTTCTTTCTTTGTAGTATTTGTGAAACAGCTGTATTTCTTGATCTTCATAAACACCACGACTTAATTACTTTTACTCCCTTAATCAGGTGGTAAGCCAGGTCTTTATTTTGAAGTTAAAGCACTCCCTCTGCTGCTCATTTTTTGAGATGCAGTTTTTACAGGTTAACAAAACTGAAAATATTTCAAATAATGTTTTGGAAGTCAACTTAAAAATTCAAACCATATACCCTTCTCCTAGACATAAAATATATGGCCAAAATGTATACATTAATATAATGAACTAAAACTTATCTATGCAAGTGATTATTCTGCCATCATTTACAAGGACAATTGAACTCCTGGAATCCTTAAATTCATTTGCACTCAATTTATACCTATAAGAATAAAGCATATAATTACCTGCCTCCACTGCTTACGGCCTCTCCTCCTCTCTGATATGTTACTGAAATAGTTAAAGATAAAAAGAAGGAAAAAAATTTAAAAATCATACAAGAGTCCTTCAATAACAGCATTTACTTCGCCTTTGTTTCATGTTAGCTAAGACGACAATTGTGCATTGTTTATACATTAATTCTGAGTCTCATTCTGCAAGCTACTGCTTCAAATCCAAGTTCAGACTTAATACTTGTGCTGCTTGATAACTGCTAGTCCGAGCCCCAACAGGGTTTTATATTTCAGTTCTGTTCTGAACACACACACACACACACACACGTATCACTTAAAGAAAGCAGGAAGCCATACATCAGGTTGAACTTATTCTTAACATAACTCTGCTGACTTCAGTGGACTTATTCTGTGGAAGAATTTAGGTCATATATTTATTTCATGAATGGCTGGATGTTAAAGCTTTGCTCTACCTTATTATTTTGGCAAGATTAAAGAGGTATCATGATTCTATAACAGACCTTACTTCCAATGTAAATAATGGCTCATTACAGCTGAAGCTACTGCAAAAACAAATGCTCTTTCTGAGTGTTACTGCAGCACACCCAGGGAACTAGCACACTCTAGAAGTCCACAAAAGCTCCACATTTTTTAACATTTTACAACTGGATTTATAAATTAGACTAAATAATTTAAAAATTCAAATACATAAATCTTGGTTAAAAAAACAGTCTGACAGAAAGAACACTTTCTAAGCTAGAAGTTTTTCTATAATTTCAAAAGTATTCTCCATGAACAAAGTGGATGTCCACATGCATTTGTTTGTTGGTGTGGATTGCATATCCTTCACATGAAACAGTATCTTTGGGAAGTTATTTTTTATGATGCAAATATTCAAGAAGAAACAGTGCTATAAATTTTGCAGGTTTACACTGGGTTTGGCAAAGGGTTAAGGAGACTGCCTCCCTGCAGATGCTGATTGATTCTATACTTTCCAGCTAGGAATGTGCTGAAAACAAGCAGTAAAATTCTGCTCTTTAGAAGAACTCCAAACTGGGAGTCTGCAAGAGAGAGATAAATGCTGGCAGTGATTACAATAACAGGATTAAAATGTAGGATGCATTCCTACAGGTGAGTCTTTTACTGTAGGTAATGCTAAAGAGGGGAGCCAGGTTCCATTTAAAGTCAAAGCATGACTGAGATTCTGGATTGAAAAACAAGGATTTTTTTCTTTTAAGTGTTTTACATGTTTTATGCTTTTCCCAGTTTCTTCTTTAAAAATCTCAAGGCTATTTATTTTCCAGCTCTGACACATCTTAAGAAACTCTGATATTTTCTTTTCATGTTAAGAACCCATTGGAGAGAATAGATGTTAGCTTCCAACCTCTGCAGAATTTCAGGGGTGTGCCACAATGGAGATTACAACAGAAGCCCTCTGTTTAGCCAATTAAAGTAACAGCAAAATAATAAAGAGTTTGAATTATTCTCCAGCGAGGCACTCAAAGCTTACAGAAACATTGAGGGCCACTCTGGCTCATGCTGAACAGGAAGCAGAAGGTAAAAGGCTGAATTTTGAGAGCAGGCACCCTCCAGTTTGATGAACAGCACGTGGCTCAGACCAAGCCAGCACAGCCAGGGCTGGGGGATGAGTGCAGCACAGGGGTTGGCTTCCCCTGTGCTCCAGCCTGGAGGATGCAACTCAGCTGCTGCACAGAGGCCACATTAGCACAGTGCTGATTAGCACAGTGCTGATTAGGAGCTAACATTCCCTGGGAAACTGTGAGTGCAGAGCTGGGGTGGGTTTTACCCTGCCTGGATACACACACCCTGCAAGTCCCATAGGTCTCTTGTGAAAATGGAAGATTTTGAACAAAGGAGGAAGAAACAACCTGTCTGCTCACTCAGGCTGTAGCTAAAAGGAAAGAAGAATACTGATGGGTACAGAATGTGTTGGGTTTTATCTGCTATCCTTCATCTGAGGATGAGCTGCTCAGCTGCCAGAATGTAGGACCTGCTGAAGGTTTACAGGATGGAAAGGCTCTCATGGGCTTTGGTGGGACATGGTTCAGATTATGTCATATTTTGCATATTACTTAACAAAAAGTAATTTTAAACTCACACTGATTTTGAAATACACGTCTTTTTAAGCTGAACAGGATAATTATTTTAAAATTTCATAGCAAAATACCATTTAAGGCAGCAAGCAAAGAAACCTAACTGCTGTAACACTGTTTTTCTGTATCTTCCAAAGCAGACAACTCTGAGGTCACTGGATTAATGCAGATTCAGAGGAAAGGAAAGGAACAAATATTTCACCAGCTATAATCTCACTGAATCTCTTTCAAGTCAGCATCTGGGCTCTGTTATGTCATTTGTCCTCCACCAGAAGCACCTTTTGCATCTCTGCATGTGGGAGGCCACACTACTCACTTGGAATATGCAGGAGGAGAGCCCAAGTTTTACAAACTGACAGGATCATGCTACAAAATGGCATGCTTGCATGGAATGCTGTGCTTTGAAATGGTACACACAAATAAAAAATATTGTCAGCCACAAAGCAAATGCACACTACTCAGAGAACAAATAATGATACCTGTCATTAATGACATTGTTTAAAGAAACTCCTTCAACAAACAGCTGGGCTGGTTGGTTATGTCAGAGAAAGAGAAATAGTACCACAAACACATGCTTAAGTAACAAAGAAGGGGGAAAAGTGCAAATATATACCTGTTGGTGTGAAGGTAAAAGACGGGACTGAAAAATCAAAACAAAATACAAACTGGTTATTAAGCTGAAGAGAGAAAGGGAAACATACCACATTAGTATAAATCTAGCAGACAGCTGAACATAAACCAAATATATACAACTAACCCAGTAGTTCGATCACATTGATATAAAAATAAAACTGAAATTGCAATTCAGAAAGAAGATTGTCTCTGCAGGTACTATTCTGGAAAAAAAAAAAAAAAAAAAGGCAAAAAAAGCAAAAAGCTTGGTATTCTATTGTGCTCCTGAGGGGTTGAGACTGTGGTTTAGCCTTTCAAATCCTTCTCAGTTTGGTATTTTAAGTTTTTTTTCTGACAATCCTAGCACAAACAAAACCCCCACACTATTAATCATTCTAGAATGCAGAATGACAAATTCCTTAACAAAGCCCTATCAAGGTCCTATTGAATCTTATCTGCAGTTCACTAAGTAAATGCTCATTACACTGAACTAATAGGCATGCTTAAGTATTCAGAAAGGAAATAATAATCAGAAAAAGGAACAAAGAGAACTGCTGTTTTACTGCCTCTGAATCAAGAATGGCACCAACTCTCACTGCAATGAAGACACTAAAATCTACTGCAGCAATTAATTTTTGTTTCCAGAGATGAGACTGTTATACAGAGTAATTATCTTTTTTAAATAAGTACCAAAAATGAAAAACCTCCCTAGCTGTAACACCTTTCTACCTTCCAACCCTTGGCTTTAAGAGGGAAAGGTTAACAACAGAACAATGACACTGCTTGACAATCTTCTTTCTCACAGCTACTATAAATCCTCTTTGGATCAATAGGGACTCTAATCCAAATACAGAGCACCAGCATCTGCTCTTCCTATTAGCACATGCTCCCCCTCCTGTTGACAAGACAGTATCGTTTTCCTCTCACTGATGGCAGAACAAGGCTAACATTGCCCTTTCTGATCTAATGACAGCGAAAGGTAACAGAAACAATCAAATATTCACTAAAAACAGCCTGGAGACTGAGGGTGATCAGCAAAGCCAGAACAGAAAGAAAAGGTTCTGGCTAAGCGAGCAACTTCTTAATCTTATTTTTTTGAGAACTCTCAAGTTTGGGGGAGTGCAGTGTGTCTTGTTGTTGTAGTTTAGGATATGCTGTAGGTTTAACCCCTTTCTACCAAGCCAATTTATTTCCAGGGATATGACACTAAGAAAAAAAAAAAAAAAAAAAAAAAGAAAAATGGAGTATTTGGAGTATTTGGACATTTTAGGCTCCCTTTGTAGCAAAGCTTTTTTCCATAGTATTTTCTTTGAGCTAGGCCTTTTCACATAGTTAGGTTTAATTTAGTTACATTCAAAATATAGAACCATAGTAACAAGCTTTCATTAAAATAGAACAGGCATTTAAACCTGAGCTTGATTCCAAAGAGAATCAAGAACCTCAAAATAATTTGCAATCACAGGGACATGAGAAATATCTTAAGCTACTGTCTCATTACTTTTCTGTGAGCTAAGTACTAAACCTAGTTTTGTTTCTTAAGGAACTGAGGAGGTTCAACTGAAAGAAATCCTATTGCTACCACATGAAAGAATGACTTAATTCTTAGAGCTTCTATTAATAAACTCTTCTGAGAGTGTAAGACTGCTAGTACAGTATGTACATGTGGGAGTAGTGAAGTATTTTAACAGATGACAGGCCTGAAGCTAAATATAAAAATAAATAAATGCAAGACTGAAGAAAGTTTGGGCTTGCAGTGATGACTTGATGAACTGCAGAGTGGCAAACTACTTTGCAATTCATATTTCACTAGATAGGTTTTGTCTTTGAAGAATACTTGATACCAGAGATACATACCCTACTTTTCTGTACACTTTCATTTAAACTCCCCCCAAATTACACAAAAGATATTTTTACAGATATTGAAAAACACAGCTGTTTTGAACAATAGCTGATGTCACTGAAGTAACCATTTTTAAGGACAAATTGTATGCCTTTTGCTTAATCATAGGTACTGGTGAAAGCACAGTGATGTTAGTGTGATAGAGCTGTAGAAAGGCAGTGTGGCAGCATGCTATTAGTAAAACAAAACAGCGCAGGCCAGTGCAGCACTACGTGGGGGGCTGTCCTGCCCTAAATCCCAGCAGAACACAATCAAGGGTGCAATTCCTTCCCAATTCCCTTGGCTGCAACTCCACTGTGCCTGGAGCCCACAGTGAGCACTGGTCCCTCAATAGCACAGAGGACATCCCAGCTCTGCAACACTCCGGATGTATTTCCTTCTTCCACTCACTCATTTGCTATTTTTACCACTGCTTCTTTTACACAGCAATGAATTGCTGCTGTTTAAAACCATTTGTGTTTGATTTGCCTGTCTTGCCCACAACACATTCATTCTTGGGGACTAAAGAATGTAATCTCATGGCACCTTCCATGCATGAAGATGTGTCCATCTTTTAAACCTTGCCCTGTCTTCTGATTGCTAAATGTCAAATACAATCCCTCTAGCTCTTCAAAAGTAGGATCTACCATTTTCTGATTAATTCCATAATTTATGGTTCTGACTCTACAAGTACCTATGAGGTACTGCTTTGAGATGTAATCACCTGTAACTCATTGAATTCAGCTTTAGTTTCCAGGCTTAACCTGGAAATTATTTGATCTGGAGGGGTCAAGTTTTTATTCCAGAAGATCTTCCAGGTAGAGATTTTAGTTTTGTTTGTCAGAGACTATACTGCAAAGCACTGCTTGACCATTGAAAATGTGATGCATAAGAAGTATCAGTAATAAGAAATAACATGAAAATGAGCGGTGCTTTAGGTCAGCCCCACTGCCATTCTGACTAAACACAGATGCAGATGGGATAGCCCCAGAACTCAGTCCCAGCCAAGGGTCTCACAACAGCATTTATGAAAAGAGTCTTGGAAAGCAGACTGACCATTGTGCTTTTGCAAACAGCCACGCTGCCCCCAGAACAGGAGAAATTCAAGTACCCACACCCGAAGTGTTACTGCAATGTACACCACTGTTAGCACTCCCAGCAGCAGCAAAGCACTGGACGGGGGGACAAGGAGCTGCCATCCACTCCAGATGGCTCCTTTCAGATGATACAGTGGCAGAAAGCAAGGGCATATTGGAAGCTCCCAGCCTTAAACCCATCTTTATATTTCTCATTTGTAGGAGCATCTTTATGGAAAGCTACTCCTGGCATTCAGCTCAAGACTTATGCTCTAAAACCAGACTTAGCACGTTATATAAATATTGCTTTTCTCTGCACTGGATCCTGACCCACACTTCATGAAAATACTGAAGCAAGCTGATAATTCCTTATTTGAACCTGAGAAGAACAAGAGACTGATGACAAAATACATAGGCAGCAAACAGGCATTCAGCAGCCTGTTTGCTATCCTGTTTCAGACTGAAATAGATAATAGGGCACCTTTTCTGATACCAGCATAAGTACTCGTGAGTCCATTCCTCTTCTTCCTGTGGCGATACAACCAGATGCTGAAGACCATGAGGATAATCCAACAGGCTGCACCAATTCCAGCAATAAAGGCAGGTTGCTTTACTACATCAGAAATCTGCTGGGCTAAACTGACTTGATCTTCTGAAGACACAGGGTTTCCATGAGAATCTGAAACAGAGACAACCATAACAGCCAATTAATTTGAATGAACAACTGTAAAAGGCAGCATGAAAAGAGAGACTGACATAATTGCAGTCCAGTTTCTCAAAGTAAAATCCTTAAGACTACTCTTCAAAATCTCACTTCTACAGGTCTAGAAAAAAGTGGTTTGTTTTCTGTAAAAGACAGGCACCTCCAGTATCAGTGACTTTTGTTTGCTTACAAAAGTTGCTAAAATCAGGCTACCAAGTATACAAATGGAAAGGCTCCTAAATAACAAACTTGTGGACTGCTATTTTTATTTCTTTCATTTAAAAAAGCAACATAAGCTTCAGAAAATTATTCAGAAAAGCAGCAAAAACACACCAAGTGAAAAAAAGCTCTAGTATGAAACATGAGTAGCAATGTGAATGGGTACAAGTCAGCTCCCCAAACATCCACTCTCAGAACTGACAATCAGTTACAAATTTAAACTACGTTCACATGAGGTTGGTATTGAGGAAGATATTTCAATGTAGCAGTTCTTGACAGATTACTGAAATCTTGCATTACACAGTCTAATGTACTGCTTGCACTCTCTCAGTCTCTCATTTTGACCTCAATTAAAAATAACACTGCTTATTTAAAAGGATGTAGAAAAGTAAAACTGGTTACAAAGTAACCAATCCTGCCCCCTTAAATACAGATGAAAAAGCTAAAGGATAACTAAAAAATTATTTATGAATTGCTAAAACCAGCCAAGGAGTCTCATTAGTAATGAACAAGCAGTACTTTCCAAAACCAGTTTAGCCTTAAATACTCCACATTAAAATAAAGAACATGTATTTTTCTACAGACTATTAATTTAATTTTTTTTAAAGAGACAGCACCTTTAAGAATTGGTCTTTTCTGCTATTGAACTTTAGCAGGAACCTTTTGGGAACAGCAGCAAGAAGATCCAGTTAGTGACTGAGCTTTCTGACTGAAGTGAAGCAACTCAAAGCCAAAATACTGCCTTCCTGATGCTTTACCACCACAGTGAGTGCTCACTGGAAATTTCATTACTGCACAGGACATGGGCAAGAATTCAGAGCCTTTACTCAGAGCGGATATTGCTTTACACATTCCACAGCTTGGTCTTTGAAATACCCACTTTTACTCCTGTATAAATCCAAGAGATTGTTGCTTTATACTATTGGTAGGGCCATCAAATTCAGACCAAGATATTAATGTTTTAAGGAGAAATGTGCTGTTATTAATTCTATTAATATGAGCTATATAAAATTGTAAAACCTGTTTGCTTAAAACCAGTATCTTTTCCTTATGAAGTAAGCAGTGAATAGAATTTTTTTTTACGATGGCAACTTGCATTATGCCAAAATAAGAAACTGCAATACAAACAAGAGATGGAATCACAAGAAATTATTTCCTCTGGAAAAGGATACCTTTTTGAATGGAAAAGGTTAAATTAATAGCAGCTTCTCCCAGTGAAGCATTCCAGATTCCAGTTTTTGTAACCTTGAAGTCAAATACCTATTTTGCTGAGAAATCACCCCCGCCTTTGACTGCTACCTTATTGGAAATTTTATTTCGTATTTCAGCTCTCCTTATCTTCTGTGATCCTAAGTGCACTGCCTAGCCTGAAAGTTCACCAGGCAGACTCATTCTTTTCTTACTAATACACTCTTTGTGTCTGCTGGGTTTATAGATTTCACGCCTATTTGTGCAAGGTTAAGATGGGTTGCTTCAGATTTTATGGAGACAGCCAAGTGAAGTTCCACACAAGTGGCCAGATGGGCTTAAATGTATAAAGTACACTGTGACCAATGAATTAAAGCTGTCATCTCATCTTTTGTCTCTCTGCAGCTGAGGCCATATTAAGATATGAAAACTTGCATTGTCAGTCTCCTTTTCAAAATGAGCAATTTCTGTGTTTTTAAACTGCTACAATCCCTTATATAACTTAATGGAATTGAATGAAACATTTATGGAGAGCCTCTGGTACTGAATAAATAAGAGTGATAAATACTTTTTTGTCATCCTTAAAATGGATATTTTAAAACAGTAAATCTAGGAGAAAAAATAATCACAAACTCAAAAACCAAATAAGAATGTTTTCTAAATATGTCAACAATTCAGTCACACAGAAACACAGTACTTTTATACATAAATAGTTTGCATTTCTCACTCAACATGTATCTGATTATGATAAAATCCTGAAGAATCTTTGACTGTTTATTATACTAATTTTAAATTAACATTAATTTAATGCTATTATTTTCTTTGCAAGCGTAAGACCAGCATAATAATGAACTTTCTTTTAAAAAATTAGGCCTCTGGGTGGGCTGTTAGAGCCATTACATTAGCTGTTATATACCTATGCATATGGGAAAGAGAAAAATGCATCTATGTTCACCTATAGTCCAATAAACAGCATAAGAGGAGTTGGAAGGGCTTTCACATTTGACTACATCCTACTCCTCTTGTAATTCAAAAGTAGAAGGTAAGCTAAATATAAAGAAAATGAAATTTAGTGATGCCCTCATCACTAAAAGCTTCCAGGAACATTATCTTGGAAGCCTTTCTTTCAGAAGGGCATCTACCCTCTCCCTAATAGCCCTGTGAGATCCTGAATGATCAGTCTTGGAAATAACTCTTCAACTAAATAAAAACAAAAACTACTTTTTCTTCATCCCAGGAAATTTCTGGAACTTTGATTGATATATAAATGCTTCATAATGAACATTCCTGTTCCTGCTTGCACTCCTCAGGGAGATGTGCCAAAACAATAAGGGAACATAAACATTCTATGGCAAAGTGCATCCTACTGCCAGAGCAGCAGCCCCAGCATTTAGTGTACTTGGAAATGCCTCCGAGTTGTTGGAGTGGGCTGATCCCACAGCTCCCTGAAACCAGCATATTATCACAGTGACTCATCCCTTCTTCTACCCCGAGATAAGAGCTTTCTTTTTAATCACAGATAATGTTGCTATGGCTATTGCTCACAAGCTACTCAATTTGAATGTCTTGAAGCTCCAAGTTTCGAACTTCAATGAAAACTAATTAGAATTTACATAGAGAAGAACTGGAACCTCTAATACTCTAATGTTAAATATTCATATAAATAATAATAATGTGAGAGCTAACATTTAAGTTGCTAAATGATAAATATTAATATCCATTTATGACTGGAATGCCAAAGATTCAAAAAAGACAGGGAATTCCAGGTGCACAAGCAACATAACTTTGCCTTGTAGAAGTATAACCTATGGAATGGTACTTTTCCCTACATATGTCTCATTCAGTATACAAAATGTACAAACACCGAGTAGGAATATCTAAACAGTGGTGACATTTGTTAATTCTGGCAATTAAAAACTTGCAAAAAATATGAAACCTGTAACATGTTGTTTGAGTGTTATCTCAGACATATGTGCCTGATGCAATATGAAAATTATTTGGTGAAATATTACCAAGGTAAGAATATGCTGTTTTGTCTCCTTTCTAGATGTATGTTTCCCAAACTAATAAAATATCAATTGTGCACTTTAATCTTGCAACATATGCCTTGAGGTGACAGCATCAAACTGATTTGGAAAGGTTTAGTGTGAGGGGTAAAAATAAAGATTACTTTCTTAAGTTGTTTGCAGGCCACAAACAAAAATATCAACAAAAAATCCCTTACAACTATCACACTCAAAGTACCTTAAGGGCTGACAGAATAATATCCTGAAGGAATGCTAGGTAGTTCACAAATCGTATCTCCTAAATGAAGCAATTAGAATAATAAAGATTCAATGAGACTTTCCTGTGTTTAGTACACTTGAGACATCCACTGGTTGAATACTACATTCAACATTTACAGTAATTGTGCAGACATCTCTTAAGAAATAGGTGCATACCACATATTCACACAAATCATGTGTTTAAGGGTAACATGAACTGCAGTTGTGGGGCTTCTAAGCGCTGGTACCAGATACAAAATACATCACAACATGTTCCAATGTCACCACTTACCTGTCAACAAGCATAGGCAATGCTGCCAAGCTACCACAGGCAGTATCCCATCACTCTGCAAAAGCTAGGCTACAGAGCAGCAAAACATTGTTTGCCAATTCTCATCTTTCTGTGCAGAGCATTTCTGTAAACAATGTCTTTAAGTTACATGTTGTGACAAGGAAGTAAAAGGGTCGATTGAAATTCTGTGATTTTGTTTCTCCACAGCACATTGTTATAGGCATAATATAGTGAGCTGTGGCTAGGTCACATGAATTTTTTTTCCTTAACACGAAAACTTCTGCAGTCTTTCTTTATATAAAATTTCTTTTCTTTTAAAACAAATAAACAAACCTTTTTTTTTCAGTGTGGAATTCTACAGAAAGCATTAAAAGGCCATTCAAAAGCCAAGATGCAAATCCCGAAGCTTCATGCAGGGTGTTTTAAGGAGACACATAATTTTTCTGTTGATCTCAAGATTTTATGAATAACAAGCAAGTTATTTCGTTGGCTTGTCCCTGGTGGCACGGGAAGTCTGGGGTACCACAGCTCAGTGAGCTGCTTCATGTCAGCAGAGACGTGGAAAATGAAAGAGCTTCGAGATTACAATTTGTACCTGTCTTTGTAACAGGTTAAGTGCGTGCACAAGGTCATTTATCACAGCTCAGCTGATGCATGGGACTGCGACTGCACGCCTCAGCTCCCGGGGAATCCAATGTCTCCTGTCCTCCCCTCTCCTTCTGCAAGGCAAAAGGTGAAGCTTCCTCCTGTTACACACCCAGCTGAGACTCTGCCCAGGCACATCCCTGAGTCACAAACCTGGGAGCATCCCTCACAGCACACAGGCTCAAAGAAGAGACCCAGCCACAGCCCAGTCTCAGGTTTTTATACAGAAAACACATTATAAGGAGATAGACATTGGATTTTAATGAAAAGTTTTTATTTAAAAAGTGAACCTCAGAATCACACAGCATATTCTATTTTCACATGTGGAATTCCTATTTATATATATTTTTTTAAGTGAAGGATTGCACTAATTTAGGTACCAGGAAAAGATTTCCTGAAGGAATAGCTGGGAGCAGGGTCACAAATACAGAAACTTGAAGCTGCCACACAGTTCTTAGAGCACATACATATAGCTTCCCAGGACTGAGCATCTTAGTCCTCTTTCCTCCCCCTCCCTGGCCTCCCTCCCTCTCTCATGTAATGTAATTTATTGCTGGTGAAAAGTGCCAATTGATGACATCAACAAATTAATTTTCTCTCTTCAGAAGGCTGCCCAGAAAACTCTGCTCCACCCCCACACTGGGAGCACTTCTAAGAACTAGGAATCCAATTGCTTGAGGGGGCTGGAGGAGAACTTGCATCACAGAGCAGAGTTGAATAATCTGCAGCCATTCTTTTACCTGCATGATTTAGGTTGATCTATGCTATCAAAGAGTGCAAACTCTTTAATTTAAGCACTAATTTTCAGCAGCCTCCTGCAGTTGCTGAAAGGTCTGTGGCACCATCTAGATATTTCATCGTTCTGCTTCTTGTGGCATGGATCTCCACGGGACTCCTGTCTTCACATCTTTGCCATGTAACAACCAAATTATGGTATTTACTACAGTACACCTAGATTTGGCTATGCCACTTAATTAGAGGCAAGCAGTGAAAGCAAACTCCAGCCATGGGGAAATATGTGTATTCTACCAGACTTGCACATCTGAACACCTTTCAAGGTGTGGGATCACTTCTTGTTTCCTAACATAGTAACAAGAAAGGCCAGGGACCCAGAAGTGGGCAAAAACCTTACCCTGACAGTCTCATTTGTTTCTTTTTACACTTAACAAACCTCAATGTGATTAACTTGAATTAGAAAATTCACTTTCATTTAGATTGCTTATCATCAGACAGAAGGGGAAAAAAAAAGTGGTTGTGGAGTCCTTGGCTTTGAAGATTGGAGGTTCTCATAAATCTCACTAATGCAGAATTTTCAAAACCTAAGCTATATAGATTAAGCTTGATTTTGACTGGCTGTAGAAACCTGTGAATGGTAGCTGGCTGTAGGGAGGAACAATCCAACAAGTAACTATAGGGTTCTTCTGTAATAATTCCACATTAATGGAATATCATACAATCTGTGTGCAATTTTATTGTAAAATCTCCATCAATATAATTGGGAATCATATACCTGTCTAATTTAAGTAAGCTAAAGATGGCCTTCCTTTTAGTACCTAAGAAAATGTACAAGTAATTTTCCATATTAGTTGCTCTGTCTTGTTTTCACATGCTCTTAATTACAGATTTTTAAATGCAACAAGTGAAATAAGAAGGTAGATCTACTAATGATACAGAGACAGACAGGACATAAAGTCCAAAACAACATGCTGAGCTTGCTTTCATAATTATACACTGTAATGATAAGGTATTTTGCTCCAGGCATACTATAGAGCAGCATATGACTATACTTAAAGCTACTTTAAATAATCTTCAGCTAACCAATAGCTGAAAGATGCATTTTTCCCAGAAACATCCAGGAGCAATATCCCTGGTCAACATTTATGACAGTGATGTTTGGTGCAAATGAGATTAGAAGATCAAATTTTAGTAAATCATTTGTGTACATTTTTTTGCCTGTACTCACTTGCTTTCCCACATAGTTGATATTTATTGTGCCTAATTTTAGGATGCTTGTTTTTTTGCTTAGATAATGATAACATCTGGTCAAGACAAATTACATCCTTAAAGTGGATCAACACTTAGTGATTCATAAGTGTTTTTAAGGGTGAAAATTCACTTTGAAAAGTCAACAACTAAAAAGCTCTGCTGAACTGGGAGATTTAAAAACACCCCTGTGTTGTTTTAATCCCACCTTTAGAATGCAGTTCTGAGGCAAGTTTAAAACCAGAAATGCCAAATCCTGCTATTCTTGAGATCAGGTAACACTATCTATTTCACTTGTCTTGAAAGTATTTCTGGTGCCATAAAAGACGAAAGCAAACAAACAGAAATCACCCAAACCAAGAGGCAGGGTCACCAGGAAGCTTACCTAACTGGATAAACTGGGGATCACTTTTCACTCCAGGTCCTGCCCCAGTGCTTGCAGCCACTTCCACGCTGTATCGGATGCCGGGCACCAGGGAGGGGATGACCACGGAGAAGGTGGTGCCATCCACGGTCTTGTTGATGTGGTACCGGCTTTCGTTGCCGAGGCACCAAACCTGCAGGGAAGCAAAGGCACGGCACATGTAACGTGCAAAACTCAGCTCTGAAGGGTAAGAAGAAGGCAAGTTGACGCATTCTTTCCTTCTGGATGAAGAAATTTACACTTTGTCACTGTTCTAACATCTGAAGTTGTGGATTGCTATCCTAGGCCCTCTATGAATACTGAAAGGACACTTCTTGTTCCAAAAGCTGCTCCAACGACTACCATTATTTGATGAGTTTATCACAATTCATTTAGAGTTCAACAAGTGCTAATGAAACTACAAGCACAGGAGGAATGAGGGAAGCCCCACAGCCAAGAACTATTCACATAAACAACAAAGTAAGAGCATTCAGTTAAATGAATTTGCAATTCTCTTCTTCAGGAATTATGTCACTCAAGTGCTCAAGTCTTTCATCACATGACATCTTAAGAGAACTGATGTCATGATGGAATCCAAATGGTTTTGGTTTTCTTTTTTCTTCTAGATGGCAGCAAAGGACCAATATTGACTGATATGCTGTCTTCTAATTGAGACAACAGCGGGATATCAGATCTCACTTTTTGGTTGAGACCAAGATACAGGTCTAGTGACTTCAAATCACAATTTCATATATTACATCAGTGACATTAAATGGTTGGGAGAATCAATATGATGAGATATCTGTATCTCCTTAGGCCTGAATCACTGATGTGGCAAGTGCTTTTAGGAGGATGGCTGAACTCCCAACTGCTATTCAAGGTGAAGCAGCAGCTAATCTACATCTGCTAAAAAAAAATCATGAAGCTGTGCCTATTTCCTTTTTGTGCCTTTCCCACAAACGTATTGCTCTACAAAGAACATTTATTCAGAAAGTTAAATTACTTAAATTCAATACTTCATCTGTAAAGAAGCAAACTTGGCTGAGAACAGCAGCGTATCAGAACCTGGGCCGATGGTACATGGAAGGGAAGATTTTGCTTTCAACACATGGAGCTCCTAAAAGATTTAGTACCCAGATAGCTGCTTTAAATCCCTCATGCCATTCAGCTGCTGTGGAGACTGCCAGGTGAGGGGGATAGACTTTCCATGTAGAACAATTGCTACAGCCCCTTCTGTACAACCCTTTCTGCCTGGACACTGGAAATTTTATCTCACCTTCAGGACATTAAAAAGACCCTTTTTCCTCCTCTGGATACCACGGATTGCAACTAGGCTAGTGGGACAATGTGAGGATGTGAAAAGCATTTTAAGTTCCTTTGAAATCTAATCCCAGCACAGGATATGTGTAAGTGCTGCTGCAGAGCAGGTCAGAGCACACGAAGAGAATTTTTTGTGTTCTGATACTACATAGAGACTGTTTCAATCAGAGCTAGGGGTAAAACTATTACTTATACTGCTCTTGAATCCTAAAGGATAGGCATAAAAACACTCTTATATAAATAACTCAATTAAGTGAGGAACAAAATACTTAAATCTACTTTGGACTTGAGTCATTTTTACAGAAATTATTACTGCTACCTTCTAAAATGGTGCATGTGCAAACAATGAAACACATTTATTATGTACTTCTAATCATGAACTACTAATTTAGAAAAAAAGACGCTTTTGTTCTTAGGTGCTCAAGTACATGGAGAAGTGCATGAAACAAGAATGTCAGGTCAAACATCAAGCTGTTCTGTACTTGCCATCCTACATTTGACTGTATACATAAACAGGCAAGTGAACGTGAACCTTTAGAATGTTATAAAAGAAGAATGAATTCACATAAGTGAAGAGAGAATTAGTATAACGAGAATTTCTAACTTTGTGTTGGGGAAGGAGAAAATTACTTATGCTGTGAATCTGAATTTCTGGGGTTTTGTGTATGCTACTGACAATTCTTCAATTAAGATAGTATCCTTCTTTCTATTTATTTTATCCTTTAATTAAAGTAGGTACGCTCTTGCCTTTGATCTGAGTTGTTGAGAAAATAATTAACTTCCCCACATATGCATACCTTTTTTTTTAATTTTCTGAAAGAAAACAGAAGATAAAAAAACAAAAAGGGAAGAAAAAAGAGAAAATTTCACAAATCTTCTATTTGAATTTTTTTTCTTGATATTAGTTCTTAATCTAAAATCAGCAGTTCTGCACATCTGTAGTTTTTTTGACAAAACAAATAATTACATATAGCAACTTAAGTAGGAATGGCATATGTATTTTCATATATTATTTTTTTTTATGTCGGTTTTCTGTCCATGGTGAAAAGCACAAAGGAAAACAATGACATCAATGCAACAAATAAAGATGCAAAATGTGCCCCTGTGCCATCTACTGCTACATAAGCACTACAGTGTGCTTGCTCAAGCACCTGGTAGCCTGTCACCTCAAAATCCTGGGAGGTGGGGTAGGGATTATATCTACTCAGAAATGTGAATTTCCTGACTTTTATCATTGTGTCATTGCAACCTTAACATTCCTCTGATGCAGTTTCTTGCTGTAAATAATTCTCAAGGTCTGGCTTTAAATAAAATAACTTCACAAGTATTTTTTCCAATTACATTGTATTATATATCCAAAACTAGGCCATAAACAGATTTTATTTTACCAGCTGACCAGGTTCTGAAAAGGATTTTATTATTCTAAATTGACCATGAAGGTTAAAATCTCTTCCCTTTCCCATTTTTACTGAGAAGAAAAGAAAATCAGAATGAGTTTTGATGGCTAGGAATATAGGTTTATAGCACTGTGTTTAAACCTGAAAAATAGCCAAGACATTTGCATTTAAAAGATTTTCTCAATAATGTGCATTTGCAGGGGGCTAACACCAAAGCTCCTGCCCTTTCATGGCTACGAAGCTTACTTGATATCTACATTTAAAACATCTCTAGCTTGCTTAGGAAAAATAAACCTCATTTACTTTGCTATGCAAATTATCACCAAAAAATTTGAACTGCAAATACAGTCTGTGTTCATAAATTAATAACAAAAAATAAATATTTTTAATGTACTTTCAATTTGTTAAAAATTAAATAACATAATGAGAACTGTGTTTGGAAGAAAAGAAAAATTTTCTATGCACTAATAGATTTATTATCATAGAACATTCTTTCCTTGGAAGTTTTGCATTTGTTTTAACTACTCAGTTATGCATAATTTACTTAGATCTTAACACTGTTAATTATTATCCCTGAGCTGTTCAACTCATTAAAGCCTGTTTATATTTACTACCTTGGCCAGTGTCTTAGAGTCACAAAGTGCTTCTCAAACAGGTATGATTCCCTCTCTCCTTGTGTGTGCGCTTCCCAGGTCATAACGAAGGCAAGGCAGGAGCTGTTTTAATTAAGAGTGTTGACCCTTTGCTTTGATTTATGGAGGCTGTTTTAATTGCCTGACACCACCTAGGCAGAATCACTGAACGTGGAGTTTGACTCACAGCAGCGACTTTCTCTCCCATTTTCTCTGAGTAACCAGAAGATGGAGCCAAGCATCCATGAACAGCCCTTCCCTCGCTACTTGGCCAGGCTCCCTCTGCCAGGAGGGACACCTTGCCAGCATACCTTGTATTCTTGCACCATCCCGTTCTGGTTGTCCTCAGGGGGTGGCTGCCAGGTGACCACGATTGCTGTCCCGTTCCCATCGTTCTTGGTTACTGACACACTCTGAGGTGGAGCGCTCGGAGCTGTTTGTTCGGAAAGAAGGGTTGAATGGTTATGTCTGTCACACCCACAAGCCAGCTTGTTTAAGCAGGAGAGGCTTTCTGGGCTCTACAAATGAAATCTTTTGTGCCTCACCCTTCACTGAGGGCAGTTTGTGCCCACAAGACAAAGTGATACAGAAGGAAAATGTATGACCCAACAAGCAGGCTCTTGAGTTCTGCTGTAGTTTTGCTGTGCAGGCCAGGAAAAGTAACGCTCCAAATTGTAGTCTCAGATATCCATTACCTGCATGTCACAGTTCTGGGCACTGAGTTTCTCGCTGGTCTCAAATCATCTCACCCAGGATCAACAGGTTTGAAAAATAAATCCTATATAGTCTCCAGTCTAAATCTCAGTTCTTTTAGTGTGTGAAAAATAATAAGTAATATAAAACTTATTAAAATCTGGACAGAGTGTGTTAGTATTAACATATTTATAATAATAATTTATGTTTTGAATTTGAAATAATCTTTCTAAAAGGTGGAGGCTTAGCTGATGCTTAGGATGAATGCATCTAGGCACACCTTTTCAATCACGTGCAGCAATACACTGGAGCTACACAGCATTTCTAATGGGGGAAGAAGATAGAAAAGGAAAGGTTGCACATCCTAGCAGAAGCACCAAAATCCCTCTTCAGAGGCACTGGCCACCTTGCATACTTATCATGCCTGTGCAGCAACAAAAGAAGAGCTTTATGAACCTTGTCTTTTTAGCACATGTATGAGATGGAAATACATAATTTAGTCCACTATCTGTTGCCCTCATTCATCTTTCCATTTTGTCTCACTGATTGATCCACATATAAAAGCCTTCTAAAAACCGTGGTTTTCATTCCCCCAGCTTACACTGCTTTGATGATTTCTGTGGTGTCTGCTATCTACTCAAGATAGTGATTAGCAAGTGCTTCAATATGACAGAAGTCACTTGTGACCAGCCCATGAACTCAGCAGGGAGGATTGCACACACTGAGGGGAAGATAAAAAAGCGCATTTCTCATTGTGTGTTGGAGGGGATTTTTGCACATCCCTCTCTCTCTGTCTCTCATGCCTGGCTCAGAATATTTACTTCTGTGTCACCAAACAATTCACATAATGATCAGTCTCCTCTGCCACAGATTGCTGCTCTCAAACACTATGCACTTCAAACAAGATCAAATAATGAACATATCAGAGGAAAGCCGGCCAGGCTGCTACTTGAAAAAAGAAAGATGAAGACAGTCTAGCTCCTACTTGCCTTCTTCCAGGGTCTTTGCAAATTTCACTTCACTATCTGCTCCCTGAAACTCATTAAAGAAAGGGCGGGCCTTGATTTCGTAGTTTACGCCTTTCTTCAGCTCTGGAATGATAACGCTGTTTTTGGTGGGAGTCCTCACTTCAAAGATCAACCACTCTGATTCTCCATAAGATGCTGGTGTAGGCCGGTACAGAATTTTATATCCTTGAATATATTGGGATTGCTGGTCCACCTGGCAAGACAGCAGAGCACAGAACACATCCATAAACAGACAGGAACCAAGGGTGATGCCCATGACACCGTGCACGGCCCCTGGCCTATCCTTCATGTTACTCAAAGTAAACACCACTGCCAAAGCAATAAAGGCTCCTTGCATTAGAGCAAATTACGGGCCTGACTCACAAGTGCGTTAATCTCTTTGATGCTGGTAGAACTGTGCAGGTTTCCCTGGATTTAGGAAGGTATTCAAGGAGGATAACAAAGTTGTATAATATGCCCCACCTCTGTGACATGAACAGTCTTTGCATCCATGGAGCAAAAGAGCTTGGCACAGGTCAGACTGCTGCCCACCTGAATTGCAGGGCAGGGCTGGACACATGGGGAAAGGGAGATCTACAGTGCCACGGCTCAGGGTGATGAATATGGAGATCAAAGAGAGAGCCTGTCAACTCTCCTGAGGTGTGGAAACTTCCCAAAACCTGTGAAATGAGCAACGCTTCCTGCCTGCTCCTTTTTGGAGAAAGCAAATTGAGAGGGTGGCCAGCTGGCACTGTGGCTGTCAAAGGGCAGATCTCTCCAAAGACTTCCCCCCATGTCCACCCACTCAGTGGGAGCCTCTCTGCTAGAAGGAAAGGCCCAAGCTGCAAGAGGGAACATAAAACTCAGTATGGTAACATAGGGGAGACTTGGAAAAGCAGATCAAGCTGATGCTCAGTGGTCCTGAGTGCTTTCAAACCAAGTCAGATTTATACTAAATGTATGAAGAAAGAGATCTGAGTGTAATCAAGGGCAGATCCAATATGTTTGGCTATAGCTGAAACAGAAAGCTACCTTATACAACTGATCTTTCGTGGAGCATTCATTATCTTTTTAACTGCTGGTTTCAATTTCTGATGAATAAGGAAGTCCAATAACAACCACAATGAAATTTTTTAAGTGCATCAGATTTTCCTGTTTGCAAAAATCTCATACAATGATATAATAAAACTGTGTGCTTGCAATTTTAATCCAAAGAGCAACACATTTCATTTTTAATAATCACATAAAGAATGCATGTGCTAGCTAAAACTGAGGTAATGCTTATTTTTGAAATTGCAGAGAAGCCACAGGCCACCCAAGAGACTGACAAAAGCTGCCTGTCTGGAAAAGGTTGTTCTGTAAGTAAAGGTCAAACAAAATTTGCTAGGAACCTCAAAGATGTTTTAACGTATTAGTTAAAACAGGAGATTGCCTGCTGCAGGTGGCTCTACTGCAGGTGAGAGTGTAATTACTGTGCAACACAGCTACAGCTCTTCTACAAAGTCACAATGCCTTTTGTTCCTGTTCAAAATATTCTGCTATGGCATAGCAGGAGCTACAGCCCATGCTGTCCCACACTATCCCTGTCAATATATTGGAATGTTCAGATGGAAGTCCCACAAAGACCTCAAGGCTCACTCCTTATGGTTTTATTTCTGTACATGGTATAATTATATCCACAACATTTTCTTAATTCTGCATTCCATTTTAAAACTGATTGTTGAGTTACATTCCTCACTCTCAGTTTCTCTGCTATGCTCTCCATGTGGCCAACCTCCTGCTTTCCTGCTGCCAGAGCAATATCAATGTGACACTGCCTTTTTTACCTCTTCTCCCTGCACCATGTGTACTCAGGGCACCACAGGAAAGGACAGGTTCAGATGAAGGCAATCTGATTTGGGTGTGCTTGTCAGTGTGTCTGTAAGAGGGAAGTAACACTTTCAAACAGAATTATGCAGTATTTCTCTCTACAGGGGACTGACAGAGAGGGAATTGCCCATGTTTTCTCATTAAGGGACTGATACATGTCCTACTGAATCAGTGGAAAGGCTTCAAGTGATATAACTGAAGAGGTCCTTTAGCTTCCAGAAGAGGACTCTGAAATCCTCACTCTATTATAAACAGCACTCTCTATGAAGACAAAGATGGAGAAAATGGGTAAAATTTAATGAAATAGAAAAGCAGAGCAGACACTCTTCCCAGGGAAAAACATTTGCCAGCATACAAACTACTCAGCTTTCTGAAGTGTGACCCCGCTGCAGTGCAAGAAGGACATCTCAGCAGCACATGTAACCACCAGCAAGGTACAGATTTGTACTCACAGTCCAATGAACTTCGATTGAGGAGGAAGAAAGGATAGTAGGGTTGTGCAGGTGTAGCACCACGTCACCCAGCTCTCTCTGGACCTGCTTGTGATCCACACCTTGACTTGTTGGCGGAACATCTGTAATAATTTAAGATTCAATTCTCACAAGTACACAGGATTGTTGAAATAACTACATGCAAATACAAATGAGTGTGTCAGAAAATATATGATGCTATCACTGATGAAGTTGAACCTAAATACTTCCTAATCATGTTAGAAAAAACTACATGAAGCATTTTCTTGAGCAAATCACCTATGTTTAGGTAGTACCAACTCAAGACACTGCACTTCCTTTGATAGAAATGTGAAAGTAATGCTTCACAAAAAGACCACACCACACCACACCACACTCAAGGATAGCTTTGGTAAATGGCTACAGCAGCATCTCTTTATTCTTTCCTGCTGGGAAGAGAAAACATTCTACATTGCCAATTTGAAGAGACCAGGAAACATATAAAAAACAGCAAAAGAAGAAGCTGTATCTTTAGATAAATTCGTGACAAACTTACTTGGTGTAACCAGAAAATAATGTTAACAACCAGAGAAAAGATAAATTAGTCACATGGCTGCAGCTTCTCTAATGGCAAGAGGCTTCTGTAAACGGGAGGCAGAGCCCAGTTGAGGCTGTCTGGATCGTCTGATATTTGGTCTATGCCATAGCTGGAAGGATTATTCATATGCATGAAGGGACAAATTCCTCTCAAAGCACACAATAGTATGATGAAAACACATATTTTCTGCATATTGAGCCCTTGGAAAGCACATTTAACTGAAATGGAATAACTGTCAGACGTGTAAAATGTACAGGGTAATCACTAAGAGGGTAACATGCACTATGGAAAGCAGAGCAACAGTTTCTGTTCCAGGTTCACATCTCACTCCTTGATCACCTCATTTTAAACAAATACCATGCTGACTATGGCTAAAATTCTATGACTGGCAATGCAAGAAAAGTACTTGCAGTAATTGCTAGTAAGGTTAATGTGTAGTCAGTGAGTGACAAATCTGTGTCTTAGCAAGCCGCATTGGTAATAACAAAAGAACAAACCCAAAAAAATCCTCCATGGAATCACTGCTATATCCCCATGTAGTATGTTCTGTAGTATGTTCTGCAAACAGCCCATTATCACAGTATTTCCCTCCTCCCAAAGTTTGAAAGCATTAAAGATAAAAGCTTCTGTTTGGGAGCATTGCCTGAATATCACCCTGCTCAGAATGTAACAGGAAAGCCAGTGGAATAATTAGTTCTAGCTTTGCTAGTCAGAAGAGATGAGTCATCCACAATATGGATCAAACTGTTCACAGGCTCAGCCATTTGCACATCTGTGCTGTAAAATGATGCGTGCGCTCTCTCGTTTCGGCTCCAAGCTTCCAAGACAGGGACTGTCAGTGAAAACACCCAGGAATAAGGTTGTTAATGTCTGTAAAGTGTGAAGATGAAGGTACTAGGAAGGCAGTGCTGAAGGGAGGAAGGCACTGAAGGCACTAACCTACCTTCACCTTGCTTTGTGGACTGAACAAGCCCTTAGGACCAGACTATATCACCCTCATGACAAATGCCAACTGGAAATTTTTGAACTTGCTTAGCTAGACCACAACTTAAACAAAAATGAAATTATATTGGAAGAAGAGCAGAACTAGTCTAAAGGACTTGACACTGGATTACATTTCTTAAAATTGGAGAAAAGTTTATGTTAGCTATTATTTTCACTGAGGTACTTTTGGGTTTTCAGCTCTACTAGGTACCCAGAGAACAGTGAAGCTTTTCCATGTCATTATAAACCATTCAGTTGAGTGAACAGAACATTTGCTGTTTCTCAGAATCAGGCCAGTAAACAGTTTGGGACAGACACAATACCTCTTCTCATTTCCAGAAATGAAACTACACTACATGAAAAACAGGCTAGTGCAGCTCTTGCCCCAGAAATCAGGAATCACTAAGAAGTTATTAAATCTCTCCCTGGTAACAGACTTGGGAACCTGTGCAATCCTGATTTTCCATGGGGCTGTGACTCTGCTGTCCATACATATCCACTGAAATTGTCACCCATCAGAAGAAATGCATAATACCAGAAGACAGCAATGTGAAACTGCTCACTCCCCAGGGGGGAAGAGAAAGACTTGCTTTCAGACCAACTACAGAAAACATGAGAAGCCCCCAAAGAAAAACACTTTGTTTCCTTTAGAGAACTTCCTTTCAAAAACTAACACGTACTTACTTACACAAACAAAGAAACAAACATACAGCATAGACACTCTTAATAAGCCAGTGGGTCAATTTCTCCAGTAAGTAGGAAGATCAGAAAAACAAACAAAAATACGATCTCTATCACTTTTTCTTTGAAAAACAGTGTGTCTAGTATCCCCCTTCTTAAGAATCTAAGCTTTTCTACTGGAAAAATGAAGGTTTCAGAGCTGCAATGCATTATTGCACATCATCCTAAGTGTCATTTATTTTGCTACAGTGAATAGAAAGACAGTTTTAATTTTACTTAGCTGGACTCAGTCCATAGCTGGACTTCAGTCACAGCTGGAGTCAGTGGATGACTCCTTCATTCACTTCTACCCAGACTTTTCTTCCACTTGGCTATCTGTAAGCACTGTTTTCTACCCTATTTTACTTCCAGCAGTTGTACTATGGAAACACTTGTAACATACTGCCAAAACTTCTTTACTGGTTCACGGTGCCAAATTCCTTCAAATTTTCAACTTTTCTCTTTCCTATTGCAGCAGAAATCAACTTAGATTACATGCTGTTTCTCTCCCTGTCTCAGTCTTAAGCCTTATTTGATTCACTGGACACAGTAATAACATATCCATGGAATTTGAGGATTTGTATGGGAACTCAAAAACACAGGGATTACTTTGGCTGCTAGCAAGAGCTATTCTGCAAGTTGTAACTACCTTTGGATAAGAGATACTAGGGTTCCCTTAGGCAATGCAATATGCTGTCAGAATCTGTATTACAGAGAAAACCAAGTTTAAGCACTGCATTTTACTGTAGTATGTATTATAGCCAGGATAGGTAGACAGTCCAAAGCTACCAGAATTCCTGCATCTGGTATTGCTTAGTCAACTTGTGACAGCTGCTGTGGACACCCAAAATGTTCAGTATCAAAAACTTACCTTGAGTTTTCACTGGATCAGATATTTGGCTTGGGTCGCTCAGCCCATATGCATTAGCTGCTCTCACAAGGAAGAGATAAATTGCATTAGGTTTTAGCCCTTTAACTGCAAAACTCTCAGTTTTCACATTCTCAGCTACAGTTTGCCAGCTGCTCCCTGATGCATGGCTAAAGATAAAACACACAACAGCAGGTTAGCACGTGGTTCTTTAAGAACACATTACATGTAAACATAGAGACAGCAAGATCACACCAAACTCACGTACCTGAAGGCCTCAATTATGTAAGAGGTTGGTGTTGCACCTGAATTCAAATTAGGTTGCCATGACAATGTTACTGTATTTCTGCTGACATCTGTAACCTCAGGCTTTGATGGAGCACTAGGAATCAAATTTGGGTCAGTGGGTCTTGGTGGCTGCACTGGGACTCCAAACTCTGACAAAAGGAGAGAGAAATGCTGAGTACGGACAGGATGCAGCTGTAAGCTAAATGCTGCTCACATCTGCACTGGCAATTTATGACAGAGTTAGATAACTTCTACATTTCAATTTCTGGTTTTCCTTCATGCATTTTCTCCAGACAGAGGAACCCTGATGGAGTTACCTTGGACCTCTATGAACGCGCTCCACGTCGCTTCGCCGCTCGGGGTTGAGGCAATGCAGGTGTACCGGCCCGTGTCGCCCAGCTGAATGGGAGAAGAGAAGAATAAATATTTGAAACAATCAGGCACTCAGTGGGCTAGAAAAGTAATTACAGCTCTCTACGTTCCCCCATGAATATGGATAAATGTATTAGCCTGCAAAACTTTGCAGCAGGAACTCCTTCCATTAGAAGTAACGATTTTGACAAAACAAAAATGGGTATTTATTTCTGAGCAGTCACAAAAGAATCAGAAATGCAGATTCTAATTTAATGTTAACTATTCTGTAATGAGCAAACTGAAGGCCATTTCCTTTAGCATTTATTCCTTACTCTGCAGAGGTCCTAACAAATAAATTGAGAAGGAACTCAGATGACAAGACGCCATGCAACTGTCAACCTTCTACATAAATAATGCCCTGGGATTTATCAGGACTGGAACACTGGAGAACATGTCATCCTTAAAGCAAAGCTTAAATATTGCACAGGGTACATATGGGGCTCCCTGTGTTAGTATAAATTTCATTCTACAGCAGACCCAAAAAAGAATCTCCATATGCTATCCTCATCCAGTTCTCAATGTTGGATTATTTGCCCATATGTGACTTAATCACATTTCAAAGTGGGTTTTTTTTTTTTTCCCCAAAAAAGAAATGCTATCCTCCTCAGGTCCCAGCCTCAGCAGATGAACTGAATGGAAGTGATCAAAAATCAGAGATTCAAGCTCTAAGCCAGTCTAACTTGTATTTGGCAGCAGGGCAACTCTGGAGAAAATGGTAAAGTGATGTATTCAGCCTAATCTAAAAAAAAAAAAAAAAATTACTTCATTTCAAACCACAGAAAAGATAGCAGAGAATATCTAGTATGCTACAACTTCACATTTTAGAATACTTTAAAGTGTGCAATGCATGACCAGCAGCAATGCTGACCAGGTACTATAAGTCCCTGAGGAAGTCAGGTATTTGACAGGTTAACCATTTTAAGCTATATTACATTGATGAGTGATCATGTTTAAACACTAAAAGCTCTTACGAAAAAGCTGTGTATGTGATTCTATTACTGAATATGCTAAACAAAGGTTTTCTTTATAAACATTTGAATTAATTAGATCATTTTAATTTATTAGTGCTAAAGCCCAAATAATTTAATGATTTGTCTTACTAAAATACATTCCCCTTCATGTTTTAAAGTACCAAATAATCCCCTTAATTAATACCACTTTACAGCATTTTTCGTTATGAAAATAATGTGCCCTAGGCAGGTGTAAAGCATAAAGAATGCACTATCAGAAAACATGAAGTATCAAATATTTTAGTACATTTATGTAACCTTTCATTAATTGTAAGCATAGGGTTTACTACATCAAAAATGCCTGGAGGTGAAAGCACAAAATGAAACAAACCAAGAAAACCCATTTGCCAGTTCAGGCTACCTTGGCATATCTGATCTGCAGCGCTCCTGTCTCCAGCTGCTTGATGCGAGAGTCTTGGGTGGAAATGAGGATTCCATCCTTTTTCCAGAGGATAGTGGGCATTAAAGTGCCTGTGGCCACACAGCTCAGCACTAAAGTCCCGTCCACAGCCACAGTCTGATTCGCAGGACCCTGCCGAATGACAGGGGGCGGCCGGTCTGCAATCACTGCCAGGAGAAACAACAGCACAGACCTTTCTGCAACTGGAAGCAATTTTCTAATCATCTAAGCAACAGCAGTTGCCTGAGGGTTTGAAACAAACTAAAAATAATTAAACAAGTAATTAAAGTTGGAGGCATGCATTATTCAGGGCAGGGTGCATTATAATGATGCACAGCTAGGGATGTTTAAAATGATACACTACGCAGTATTTTCAGAACAGAGAAAGGATTGCATATTACACACTGCTATCCTCCAGGCATTCTCCAAGTCCAATGTCTTTATGAAGTGATAATGAAAAAGAAAGGACTTCCCAGATCCTTTGGCAAGGCAGAGATTTCACCTTTTCCATCTTTCACCACTGCCAGGCCTGTGTAACATACCTCATACTTCCAACATTTAAAGACAAAGAAAAAGGAGGTAGGCAGTGAGGGGGTAACCTCACAAATACCTCCTGCCTAAATAACCATTTTTTGTGTGCCACCAACTCCTCTTACTGGTGTGTCGTAATTGTGAGATGCCCAGCAGTAGGGTAAAGCAAACACAAATGGATAGAACCATTTTGGAAAGATTTCTTCTATTAAATATTGTTCCAGTAGTTTCTGATTTTTATGAGGCCTTCAGAAGGAAGAAAATCCCATAATCCCATTGTCTATGTCAATTTTAATACATCTTTCATGCAATGGAAATTAGTTACTACTGATGAGTTATTTAATTATACTGCACAGAAAAATATAAACCAGTCTCAGTATTCACTGAAAAAAAAGAATGGTAGTATTCTATTACCCAAAAAAGAGGTAAAAGTAATCTTTTTGTATTTTTGGGATCTGCTTTAGCCATACTTTTAAATGCCATAAATCTGTTTAGCAGTGGCATGGGTCTCACATAACTTAAAAACTGGTTTGGTAGCTGAAATATAATCCTGAAGTTCTGATAATCTGTGAACATTAGCTATTTCTAAATTACTTTTCATAACAACAGACAGGATGTTAGCACTGTTTTGTTTGGCTAAATTCCATCTCCCATAATTTCATTTGCATGTTCAAATGACACTCTGTTTTCAACTGCATTATTTATCCTTTAGTCCTTGTCCCAACCTGTTGCTACACACTTTAAGGCCATCAAAATCCTTCTCTGCAGAGACAGACAAAATAAGCCTACTTATAATTTGCATTTGACTTTGACAAGTTTGTAAAGAACTTTGCAGTTGGCAAAGGTAAGGAGTTGACTGATCTGTGCTTTATAGGAGAAATCTAATGACACTGACATTCATGGCTGATTTAAGTCCACTGAAGTTGATGACAACTCCTCCTACCTTTAGGAAAACCATTCATAAAGGCATTTTAATACCTTTACAAATACTCAGCATATTCTGCTTTCACTGTTATAGAAGTACAAAAAACTGTTGCAAGAAATTATAAAATATCTGATGAGCATCTACTCATTAGATCAATTCAGAAAATATAATGAAGAAAATGCATTTAAAATTATTATTTCCAAGTCCAGATGGCATAGGTTATTAGCAGAAAACTGTTGTAAATTTATTTCTCATCCTGCCATGGCCTTCTTCCCAGGAAAAAATGGAAAAAAGAGGATTAGGAAATGTGGCTTACAATTTGTGAGGAGCCAGAAGGGATGTAGCCCTACTCCTCCTATGTCAATCCAGGGGGAGGGGGAGATAAATAAACAATTTTATACTACAGCTTCAGTGCATGTTTTCTAGTACTTTATTATTTCTATGTTTTCTATAGGGCAAAGGGCTATTTTATAGAAGCTTCTCAGAAATCAGCTTCCCTCTGCTCCAATTCTCTCTCTTATCCTCTTCCTCTTTAAATGCTAAGATTATTATTTTCCCTGTGTATCTCTGCTGTTTAAAAGAAGAAGTATTTCTGATAATTGGCAAACTGGCCTCACTTTACTGCTTGTAGTCATGCTCCCTGTAGCTTTCTCATCTTGTACTTCTTCCTAACTAGTCCTAAAAAGGGATGTATAATTTCTGTTATTCTGCTGATCTCCATACAGCTTGATATTTTTTCATAGCTAAAACACAATATTAAGAAACAAGGAAAGAAACAGGTAAATGAAGGGATAAGCAAATGGCTACATAATAAAAGGCAGCAAGCAATATGAAAGTAAATTAAATCAAGTAGGAGAAGCTAAGAAAGAGTCAGATAAAAATGAACAGATATGACAAAAATCCATATATTGAATGTACTCACCAAATACAAAATGGAAATACAGAGTTACACATCATCCAGAATTGTAAGCCTCTGACAGACATGGCCAAAACAGGATTTTTATGTTCAAAGAAACATGCAATCCACATTTATGCAAAACAGATTTCAAAGTAGTGTCACATCACCGCACTGCTGTCTTCAAATAAAAAACTTGGAAATGATAAAATGAATGTATGATTACCATCTGTAACTTCCAAGTAGGCTTTTGTTATGATACTTCCTGCAACATTTAAAGTCTGGCAGATGTAGTACCCAACATCAGATCTCTGGACATTGGTGATGGTGAGGTCTCCAGTCTGGGAAACTGAAAATCGGCTGGATGACTGAGGGGGCTGGTATGAGAAAAGCAGATTCTGAAAGATTTACAGAAAGAAAAGTGGGCAAAAATAGGTTAAATAAATTCAAATATCAATATGCATAACTTTAATGTAGCAAAACAAATCAGTCTTTTTATATTATACAGAAAATATTCTGCTCTTCATGTCTTAAGAATGTCTATACCACAATGTGAATAGCTTCTGTAAGATTTTTAATGATAAAATAGGTGCAGATGTGCACATAAAATTGTGTGAGACTTTTGAGATTGCTCTAATGCTCTCTAAGATCAATACTGGACTTTGCACCAAGTGTAACAGAGTCTAGTGAAGATGTGAAATTTACAGAAACCACAATGGTACAGGCAACTGTGGTGAACCTCAGCAATTTGCTTCGATGTTCTTTTTTAGAACTTGCTCCAGGGCATTCGTTTTCTTTCATTTAAATGTAGATGGTGGTTTACTTATCTGTAGTTTAACATTTGCCTTCCTACAAATGGAGCAGTTTTTAAAAAAGAGATGCTCTGTAGGTCTCTCTGAATAGAGTGCTTGTGTTTTATGAAAAGTCTTATAATACTGAATCAAATCCTATCCCTATTTAGACAGTTTGGGTATGAAGTACATAGTGTTTACCAAAAATCAGCTGGAGGTTGATGAATTTCTACCTCCGGCTGAACAACTAGTAGATAAGAATACTTTAGGATCATGGAGGGTATATTTATCTCTTTTTCTTGGCTAACTACATTTTGCATTTCCAAAAATTGTCCAGAGGAATGGGACACAATTTTCTCCAGTACTAGCAAAGCCTATCCTCAACCTCCTCTTTCATTTTGCTCAATCATCACAAGTGGTCACACTCAGCAGTCAAAAATTACCAAAAAAAATAAAAGTACTAGACAACATTTAGCTAAATAAATAAAATAAAATAAATCATAAAATAAAAACATAATATACTACTATATATATATATACACACCACTGACGATTATAATCTAAATTTGTTTAGCAGTCCAGTTGTACTTAGGAATTCAGACAAAAATGTTGCAAATGGAGTAAAGAAGCCCATCTCCAAGTCTTCTCAATTTCTCTGCCCTATTGTTTTGTAACACAAAGAACCCTGTCATATACTCTTGCACCATTCATTCACAGGAAAACCAGAATCCCATATTCCTTCTTTCCTTCCAATAAAGAATACTTTGTGTCACATACCTCCTTCAAAAGATGACTGAAAGAAAACTGCAATTCTCTTGCTGCGCTATATTGTGTTTCACCCACTAGCTTTCAAGATCCTTTACAAAGAAGATGAAAATAATTTTCCCTCCCATTCAAATTAGGAACTTGGGAGAAAAAGTGACCTATTCAGGTATGATCTGTCAGTCAACTGATGGAGTTGGAAAGGAGTTCACCTCAGCCCAGTACCAGAGTCCTACCCATGCAGTGATGCAGATCAATGCAGCAAATAGTTTAATTTGCCAGAAACTCAAAAACACATGGCAAACTAACAGCTGCACCATAGACCCAGAGCCAAACTTTCTGAAAATCTGGGATTGTTTGGGGGCTTGACCAAATTTCAGTGTAAGTCATCTCTCCATTTCTTAAAAGTTCTCCCTGTTAGGTGAAATAGATTATCAGAGTAGTGAAACATGGAATGTTTCTAGTTGATTCACAGATTTATTTTTACATTCATGGAGAAAACAGGAGACAGCAAAACATAAATCTTTTCTGGCAAGACTGACATCACCTAGCATGCACATGCCTTAGAAGCAAAGAATGAGTATCCAGCATCTCCAAGTTCTAAACTTGTTTTCCACATCTTTAAAACAATAATTAAAATACTTTTCTCTCATATGAAATAATTTCTTGAAGAAACTGCCAGGAAGGAGGACAGAACGGCTGTTTCACCTGACTCCCTTCTCTCCGCCAGAAGATGGCTGGCTGAGGGTTCCCAGTTGCTTCACACTGGAAAGTCACCGTTCTCCCCAGGGCAGCCACCTGGTCTCGAGGCTTTACAACAAACTGTGGAGGTTCTGAAAGGAAAACACCAAAAATAAATAAATCACACTGCCATCTGCTGATTTGAAAGAACAATTTGCCTCCTGAGTTTTAATGGTATAAACCAGAATAGGTAAGTTTCTTTAATAAGGAGAGGCACACATTGGTCTCTAACAGCCACAGCTTCAGCATCACTCATATCATCTTTTCTGTCTGGACCTCCCAATTAAAACCCTGACTGTGCAGTATATGCTTTTAGTGCTTACCCATTGTACAAGGAAATGTGTCCCACCAGCCTGGTGAGACAACCTGCAGAGCAACAATCACCAATACAAACAAATCTGCTACAATTTGGTTTTTAAAGGAGGAATAGGGCTGCAAGCCAGAATGGAGAAATTTTTGAGGGACAGCTGGTCCAGAGGTCAGACTTTATTAAGGCCTGCAAGACACACTGCTGAGTAACTATGAATTCAGGCTTACACACACAAAACTCATCATCTCTGACTTAGGAAAGCTGAGGAGAGGAAAGCCCTTAAGTGCTTATATAAGAGACTTTTGATATAATCATGATCTCAAAATCTTGAAGTCAAAAGCCCAAGAAATACTATTCAAATTATAACCACTTAAAATCTCTAGTTCAAACACACTGAGAAGGAATGAATTTAAAGGAACAGCAGAGCTAAATGTCTTCCTCATTTACATACCCAAGAGCATGTTCAAACAAAATATATATGCAAATGAAGGCAAATTTGAAACATCTGCTCAGCCTAACATTATAAATACTGCCAGCATTGTTTGATTTATACTGACTTCAACAACCCCTTCATCCAGTACTAAGTAGAATGTCAAAAAATCAAGTCAGTCACATTAAAAAAAAAAATCAGCATAGATGGCATTGGTGATGGAAGAACAGAAAAAATCTAGCATGTTCTATAGGCTGTTAACTCTTGCTTCTTGAAAAATGTGCATTAAATTAAAGCCCATTTATTTATTAATTTCCATTTTTTCTGATCATCTGCCTAATTATGCTCTCTCTCTTCTTTGGATTGAGAATAAAGGGGATGTTTTGCATCTGACTTTAAGAAATCAAATGATTTTGATGTCCATTTCCTTTTTTTCCCCCTTGTGAACATTGATGTTTACACAAGATTTTCCTTTTAAAACAGTGCAAAATATGTAATTCAAACATGTGTTTTGCAAACATCAAGCAGTAGGGGCTTTATCTAGAATAAATTCAATAATGCTTAAGTCCTTCTTTAAAAAAAACTGCTTCCAGTGTTCCTGTGGGCCAGTTATCTTTTCCCCCTGCCTTGTGTCTACTCCCTGGTGAGCTCATATCAAAATATATTCTTCCTACGCCCCTCCTGCTTTGAGAGGAATTTTTGAAGCATAACACAATTGTCTATATTTGGATGCAAATGCTACCTTTCCTAGCATTTCCTTAGATAAGAAACTATGCAAAGCAAAGCTAAGACTGACCTACTGTAATTAGCTGACTTCAAAACATTTAGCTCTGAAACGTTCAACCAGTACCTTGGAAGAAGATGTGGGAAGACTTTGACATGACAACACGCTTCATGTGGGAGGGAGGGAGAACTGGCTGGGGGTTTGCCATGGGATTGTGAGGCATGGACAGGGGGAAATGGAGATGAGGGTGAAGCACCTTTATTATGCTGCTAGATTCTAGGAAGGAGAATAAATTTAGCATACAGTTAAGTTTATTGCTTGGCAGGTTCTGTACTAGCCTCTGACACAAATGCCACACAATGTGGAACTGAGGGCTTCTAAACCCTGTGCTAGTGCAAAGGATTTATTAGGTTGCAGATTCTGTTGAACTCAAGGACAGGTACAACTATTAAGAAAATAAAATGGTTCTGACTGCTGGAGAAATAGCTGGATGGTTGTGAATATAGTATCTCAAGATGACCATTCAGGGACTACTTAATGCAAAAAGGAAGAGGAATTTAGTCTTATAGGCAGCCATTGTAGAATTTATAAAATATAAACAGGTACATATCTCTCTAAGTATTATTCTAAATACATATTTTGTATGGATACTACTCTAAAAATAGATGCATATTGCCCGTATATGTATAATTCTAAATCTATTGCAACCAAGGTAAATAATATAAATCTTATTAGCTTCGATTTTAGAAGAATTAAACAGGGTTAATTGAAACTATTATTAAATTCCATTCTTTGTTAACTGTACTAGAAGCTTTTTCACTGCCTTTTTTTTTTTTAGTATCATTTAGTTTGATTTCACACCTTGGGTCACATATATGTGGTATGTATTGATGAGACTAAATAAATCCCTGTAAGAACAACTTCTATCTTAGAAACCTCTTAACCAAACACAACTGTTTTAGCACACTTTGAAGTTCAACCCATGCAGACACTGAAGAAAAGAGACATTAGGATTTGACTCGCTACATCATACAAAAACAGAAATAAAATTTGCGACCCATTACCTTTCTCTTTGCCATTAAGTTACCCATACTTCATGCAGAATTTATTCTGTTCGATGTGTCTTGCCAATAACAAGTAAAAGGTGGGAGCTGAGTGGTTGGAGGACATGGAAGGGGATGGATGGGAAGGGGAGGAGAAGTTCTTGTCACAGTGATACGATGACTAGAAGATGGCCAATAAAATTTCAACTTACCAGACACAACTAAAAACAAAAACAAAACAAAAAGAAAACATGGAATAAATAAAATTGAACTGACATGAAACAAAGCAAAGAATAAAGCAAAATTAAAAAAAAATTAAAAATGGATCCTTGGTAAGGATCTTAGAAAGCAAACATATATTCTGATATATGAAAAAACAGGTTTATAATGTTGAACAACATTTTTATATTTTGATTCTTAAACAGCAGTCTCTATCACATACTGAAAAGCAGGTGGCAGAGGAAAATGGGTAACAGACTGAAATACTGGCCAGGCAATATGGGTTCTACTCCAAGCCTTTCTAATAAACTGATGTGTACCTTGAGTAATTTTTTCCCCCCATTATTATTATTCATCCGCATCAAGATTTTTCCATGGCAAAACTGACTTAGAATCTCCAGTAAATATCAATCTGCAACATTACTGAAATGGAACAGTAACATTTACAGCCTTTCTAAAGCATCTAAAAATTTACAAATAGAATATATTTTTCTGAAGCTAATATCTATTAAAAAAGAACTTTCATTAAAAATAATAATATTCTACAGCATTTAGGCCACACACAAATCTCTTTAGTATAGCATTGCTGAGTCAAGGTCATAAGGCTCACTAATAAACTGTAAATGCAAAGTATACTACAATTAAAACTACTTTGAGAAGATTCTTAACCATTTTCTTTGTCCCACAAACCAGAATTTCATTAAAATATTCAAAACAAAACATTTATTGCAAAACATTAGATTTTTCAATGGAAAATGTCAGTGCCAAATTATCAAATATTAAATTATCCTTCTACCATAGCTCAAAATTTTCATAAACTTTGAAATGGCTCAGATCCTTGCAACGTAACTTTGTTTATAAAAGAAAGGCATGTTTGAAAGTATTCCAACCTCCTATCAGTGATGGAAAAAACAGACTGAAAATAAAAAAAAAAAAACCAAAACAGAAGTAATGCATTTTGAAATTACACACAGAAATATAAATGAAATTATGAAATGATGAAATTATACTGACCAAAAAAAGGAAAAAGTTAATTTTAAAAAAGTTAATTTGCTATAATTACAGTAAAGGTCCAAAAATATATAAATTTTTAAATGCATGCTACACTTTGGTCTTATCACTTTATGATGAGAGTAAACCAGCTCTTGCTCAGCATGGGCACAGTTTTGTATCAAGTAGCTAAGCACCCTGCATTCACCATCCTCTGATAAATGCAGGAGACCACTAACAGGCACTTTGCCAACATTCATTAGGTATGAGGAGTCCTGGCCTCCTGTTCTAATTAACACAGAGGACTCCAGGTGTACTGTGAAAACAAAGCAAGAAAGAGAATCTGATAGAATATTGGAACTTGGAACGTGCTGAAGACAAGAAGCTGCAACTGCATATACCAAACCCAGATCAACCCGACATGAGTTTTATAAGAGACATTTACTTTTTAAGGAAATAATCTTAAAGGGAAGAAGTTTAAAATACTATTTTCCAAAGATTTATGTTTTAAAGAATTATTCTGGATGTGCACTAGCCTTCTTTAAATGGTATTTCTCAAAAAGAAAATCAGTTTACTGATTACTCAATTACTCTGCTCAGATTATTTGTAAGACTATAGTTCCTAAGAGGAGCGGGCAAGAAATGATACAGACAAATTCCTGAGAGAAATCTGCTCTTCCTCAGGTACTGTTGTCCATGTGTAAGCCTGTATTTCCCAATAACCATTGCTTTTTCATTCAACAGCTCTTTACTAAACTTGCAATTACAATCTGACATGCTCTGGAATTAGAAATGATTCTCTTCAAAACACAACTCATTGCACATGAAACAGCCTGATAAGAGACTTAATGGAATGAAATTCTTGCACAGAGAAAGCAACTCTAAATTATTTTTTTTCATTTGTTGAGTAGTGCCAAGAAGAGGAAAGTTCAGCCTTCTTAGAAGCAATGCAGAGCTGCCTAAGTCCTCTACTGTAAACTCCTTGGAAAACGCCTAACAGAATGCTCAATTATATTCCTACAAATTAAATTAACTTCTAAGTGCTGAATTTCCCCTTTTCTTTTTATTAGACATTTCTTACTGTAGGTCAAAAATAACCCTGTCAAGCAAATATAATTTTTTGCCCACCTGTGAAAACAGAGGGGACACTGATATATAAAAATAAATCCCTGTAGAAACAGGGCATCACATTGGTTGCAAATTTGTTGAAAGGGCAAAGGGTGAAGTTTCATAGAAAAATTTGAACAATTTTGTCAGAGGGATATCATGTGGTTTAAAAGAACAATAATAGCAACATCTAAAACAAAGACCACATTCTTAGTTTGATTTGCAGCCTATTGATATCTAAGGTTACTAAAACTGAGAAGCAAATAGTTTTTCCTCTATCATAGCACATTTTATTTGACACCACTTTCAATTATAAAGTAAATTAATTTTCCCTGTGTTAATCATGGCTTTTCACATGGCAATTAAGTGGAATAACCTGTTTGTAAAGACAGGAAGTTAACACATAAAACCGCAATTACCAAAGGAATAATATTTTTGCCTTTCATATAATTTCCTTGACATGCAAGGCTTTTCAGGGAAGACGTGTCCAGTCCCTGAACAAAAACCAAAAGAAAAGTGGTTTCCAGTCTAGTGACGTGATCTTTTAATGCCTTATTCTTTCCAGCAATCCTATCAACCTCACTGGGACTATTGGTATCATTAAATCCACTCACAGGAGTAGGAATTTGCAGTTTTAGGACTTAAACTACAGCCCAGTACAGTTGCCAGATGTTAATGGAGCAACTATTACATCTGACAGATGTAGTTTTGTAGGTTCACATGATAATCATGTTGGAAGCAACCTCAGAGGTCTCCATTCCAACTTCCTGCTCAAGAGGGTCAGCTACAGGGTCAGTCAGAGATTGATCCAGGGCCTTAAAAATTGCAAGGAATAACAATGCACAGACCCTGGCAGCCCAGTCTGCTGCTTGGCTGCCCAGCCAGTGGAGAAATGCCTTCTCATATCCAGCCTCAATCGACCTTGTTTCAACTTAAATCCATTGGCTTCTTGTGCTCCCCCCATGCACTGCTCGGATGAGCCTGGGTCTGTCTCACCCTGGGGTCTCACAAGACCTCAACATGCTGTGTGCAATGACTCCATGTAAAAAAGACACATTTTGTTGCTCTCCACAGAGGTGAAGGCATATGTTGATCTAGTGTTTCTCTAGAACCCACTGGTTTCCTCATATTTAGAATAAAATATTATAGTGTTGCATCTGTTTCCTAGTCTGCCATTAGGCAAGTTAGAAGCTTCAAGTACCCCATTTTTCATAGCTTGGTAGCAATTATTTATCTTAAAGGAGTAAAATTATAGAAATTTTAATTTATGTATACTAATAAGATGCATTTGAGATCTTGAGATCCAAGGTGGTACTTAACTACTAAAGAGGATTTTATTCAGCATGTTTAATACTCATTAGTTATTGTTCTCACTATATTATCTGCAAGTATCTTCCAGGTGCTTGGAAGATATCCTGTTATTTAACTGCCACAAGTTCAACACTTTTGATTGAAGCTCAATGTGCTTCACTTTTGATTAAAAAAAATCTTCATGTCTTCAAGGACTGCTGGACACTAACAGAGGTCATTATAAAAGAAGCAAGAAAGTACATCTCTAGACCACAGAAATTAAGCAATCCCAATTTTCAGGCCAATAATTACACACAACAATCAAGCTCATATCCAAACTTTAGCTTCTGTATAATTGACCATTATGACTAAGGGCACTTACAATGAAATTTGGATTCCTTTCAAGTAATGTTGTGATACATTAATCCCAGTTCAAGTGAAATATATCAGAGGCTGCATGTGCCTGTAGAAATGAAGTGGTAGGAGACAGGACAGGACTATGAGCAGATGTGCTGGAGTAGACAGTGGAGTAAGAAGCTGGAATTTCCACTGGGATTGGCCAGGTCCAGACTAGACAGTGAGAGGGGAGAAACAGCAGAGCTAACAACAGACATAGCATAGAGATGGCTGTGTTATCTGCCAGGGAGCTGAAACTCAGTTGTTTGTCATCTTCATATGAAATAAACGGGTGAGAAACCCACAGTTTATGACCTCTATCTGAAATGTGTGGGTACAGAAAATTTGGATACTACAGTCACATGCAGAAGAAATGCAAGAATCTGATTATGTTTAGCAAACTGGACAAACTGACTTTTCACGCCTGAAAAAACAAACTACCAAGAAATCCTGAATAATTCCAAACAAAAATGCTGCAAAAAGCTGCCAACATCTTCTATTTAAAAATGTGTTTAATTTCTAATCCTGCTAAACTCTGAAATCTAATGAAACACTTTTTATGTTCAAATATCTGAATGATGACCATTGAACGCCTCCCTGAAACATGACTACCAGATATTTATGTTGGTGTTTTGCAAAAACTATTATTAACGGAGATAGTTTAAGACAATGTGCCATGTTCCATTTCCTATCTGGTGATTTGTAGGCTATTTGTTCTTATCAAAGCAATCTGAAACTCTCAATATCCTTGATATGCACATCTCTCTGCAGTCATTTGTGGGACGTATCACTTTCTACAGAGAAATAAACAAAAGCCTGAATCTCTTGTCCTGAAAAAAATATAAATGCTGCCATTCAGCTGCCTCCTGCCTTCAGCCTGTGAAAAATACAGGAAAACAACACCAGGTACAGTACAAAAGAACTGGGGTGTATCACTTTTCATCCTCCCTGGACTTTATTTTCAGCTGTCACTTCTTGAGGTCTAACTACATATACACACAGTTTCTACTTTTTCCTGGATTTTCTGCTGAAGTTCACATTCACGTGGGACCAGCCTGGGCCACCCTTACTCACTGTGAAAGCTTTCAGTACATGGTCCCAGGGCACCAAGTTTGACACAGTGCAGCACAAATGTCTGAGGAAAGGTCTCACAGTCTGGCGCCAAGCACGCCACAGCCACAGAGCTGAGGTAAAATGTTTACATGAGATTTTTGATGTC